GAGGACTCTGACAAGGATGGCAAGGCTCTGCTTAAGGTGAATATATTAAACAAGTTACTACCATTAAATAAAGGGGCTAAGGCGATTTTAAAACCATCTGTTAAGGTTTTTGAGTAAAAAAATCTTACTACAATTACTGAAAAAAAATAATGCATTGTCTTTATGATCTTCAGTATTAACAAAATATGTTAGGTTACTAGTCCCAAGTGTTGCCAGTTACTATCTACATAAGTTTCTGGGTGTCAAAGTGGACTTACAGTAAAATTCTTTCTGGAATTGGTTGCAAGCTTACATTATTTGTGACCCCATAAATGTCAGAGACATCTAAACTAATTAACATTTATATTAATCAAAATTTTTAAATGTATATTTAATCGATTATTTGTATACATGCAGGTTGTAATGAGGAGTTGGTTGCCGGCTGGTGAAGCCCTGCTTCAGATGATTGCCATCCACCTGCCCTCGCCTGTGGTAGCCCAGAAATACCGTATGGAGATGTTGTACGAAGGTCCTCAGGACGATGAGGCCGCTATCGGTATCAAGGTGAGCTTCATAGTAATTAAAAATAATAAGTGATTATGGATCTTACTAAACAAATTTTTCTAATGCTACAATGACCTTATTTTGTACTGGTATATTTAGTACTAAAACTTCTTTACTATGCAGAACTGTGACCCTGAAGCACCTCTGATGATGTACGTGAGCAAAATGGTACCGACCTCGGACAAGGGTCGTTTCTACGCTTTCGGTCGTGTGTTCTCCGGCCGTGTGGTCACCGGACAGAAGGGCCGCATCATGGGACCTAACTACCAGCCCGGCAAGAAAGAGGTGAGAAAGACTCTAGTCAATTTGTAAAATAAAATTTTGTGTACCCCTTCCCCAATAACGTGCCGCGTCATAGTGCGTGCGATGCTTTGTGTCACACGCACACTGACGACGCCGGCTCATGGGGAAGCAGATTATATGCGTATGCGTCTAAACGCTGCACAGGACCGCTGTCCTCATGTCCAAGGACTGCACGCTACGGCGCACGCGATACATCCAAACTGTTATATTTAATTTATTTACTTTGTTATAATAACATATAAACTTTTTTCCCTGTTTACTTTGTATCATCATATTAACATAAATTTGATTGTTTTCTTGTAGGATCTGTACGAGAAGACCATCCAGCGTACAATTCTGATGATGGGTCGTTACGTGGAGGCGATCGAGGATGTGCCATGCGGCAACATCTGCGGTCTGGTCGGTGTCGACCAGTTCCTCGTCAAGACCGGTACCATCACCACCTTCAAGAATGCCCACAACATGAAGGTAACATACTAAAGAGAGACTTCCTATGTATTTCAATCTTAGATGCATTAATAATCCAAGAAAAGTTACAAGTACTGAATTGTTTGTCATGGTAAGCACATGTCCCATTGATGCTGGGTAAACTGATATAGCATACACCAGCGGCAGACAGGGACACAAATTATACTCTCAGGACATATTAGCAGCATGTTTTCTATAAGCATTTTGCAACAAATCTTGAGAAACACGTTTTTATTTTACATTAAATTATATAATTTGTTTTTTGTGCTAAAATGATATCGAATATACACTCCACATTATATGCCTTTTGCTTTTACTAGCCAAGTTTATTTTGTTTAATAGTTCAATGAATAACATTTTTTATAACAAACATTTTGTTACTACTCAGGTCATGAAGTTCAGTGTATCGCCTGTCGTGCGTGTCGCTGTCGAGCCCAAGAACCCCGCTGACCTGCCCAAGCTGGTTGAAGGTCTGAAGCGTCTGGCTAAGTCCGACCCTATGGTGCAGTGCATCAACGAGGAGTCGGGCGAGTACATCGTCGCCGGTGCCGGAGAGCTGCATCTTGAAATCTGTCTTAAGGTAAATACTGAGTAACTTCCAAGATTAACATAATAAAAATATGACTCTTAATCCAGTTTATGGGTGGTTAAATTCAAGTCATTTTCTCGTATCTTTATATCCCTAATTATTTTTTCACCAGGACTTGGAAGAAGACCATGCGTGCATTCCCATCAAGAAGTCTGACCCCGTGGTGTCGTACCGTGAGACAGTGAACGAAGAGTCTGACCAGATGTGCCTCTCCAAGTCTCCCAACAAGCACAACCGTCTCTTCATGAGGGCCCAGCCCATGCCCGACGGCCTCCCCGAGGATATTGACGAGGTGGGTACAAGTTATAGTTTTGTTAGGTCTACAGGAAAAATGTTTTAATAGTTTATTATCAAATGGAAACGATGTATGTTCTATCTATAATCAAAGGTACTTTCATAAGTAAATAGTAAATTTCTCGACCTAAATAAATTACCAATTAATCTGAACCTGCAAATATGAATGTTTAATAAGTTGCATTATTTGTTAATAGGGCCGCGTGAACCCCCGTGATGACTTCAAGACCCGTGCCCGTTATCTGGGTGAGAAATACCAATACGATGTGACGGAAGCGCGTAAGATCTGGTGCTTCGGGCCTGAGGACACTGGTCCCAACATCCTGGTCGACTGCTCCAAGGGAGTGCAGTATCTCAATGAAATTAAGGACTCAGTGGTGGCCGGCTTCCAGTGGGCCACCAAGGAGGGTGTCATGGCGGAGGAGAACCTTCGTGGTGTCCGCTTCAACATCTACGACGTAACCCTGCACACGGACGCTATCCATAGGTTTGTCACATGTAAAACACTACTTTCCAAATAAATTGTACAGACTTTTTGAAGTACATAGAAGGTTCGCAACACATTTAAATATTTTTATCTGACATTTGTATATAATTGTTTTTTTTTTGTGTGAACAGAGGTGGCGGCCAGATCATTCCAACGACCAGAAGATGCCTGTACGCGTGTTTGCTGACTGCCAAACCCAGGATCATGGAGCCCGTCTACCTTTGCGAGATTCAGGTCTGTATACACTCCAAAAAGTCTAAAACCTTATACTGTATGTAGGGTTCTGGTGAAATCATGGTTTTGGTACAGATCTTCCTTTTTACACAATTTTTTAACAAGTGACCCCAGTATTGCTTGCATTGCAACTTACAATTACATAGATTATAGTGTACATCAAAGCTATATTTTGTCCAAAAATGTGCTTTCACCACGACCGCCACGCGACATCCTGAGCGGGCGGGCCTCACTTCGCCCGGCCGCCTTTCCGACGCGTGGCAGAGCAACAGTTCTTTGTTTTGGCATCGTCGGCTCGTATGCACCTTGCCTGAATAGGGGAACTAACAACCTTTATATGAAATTTTAACTCACCTCATATTGGCATATCTATCCTATATTGTGCAGAATTGAACATATTTACGGAAACAAAGAAATTAGTTTCGATCGAATCCTATTATTAATTTCGCTTGCTTTTATGTGTTAGCATACATTGTCTATATACCGTTTTTAAACATTTTTAATTCTTGCATAAATTGCTACAAAATTTGAGAATCTTACTACATATAGAAATATTACATAAATAAATTATTCTGAATATTTAATCTGACTATTAACGTAACTATTATTTCGTTGTAGTGTCCCGAGGTGGCAGTGGGCGGTATCTACGGCGTGCTGAACAGGCGCCGTGGACACGTGTTCGAGGAGTCGCAGGTTGCGGGTACGCCCATGTTCGTCGTTAAGGCGTATCTGCCCGTCAACGAGTCGTTCGGCTTCACCGCCGATCTGCGCTCCAACACCGGTGGCCAGGCCTTCCCGCAGTGTGTCTTCGACCACTGGCAAGTACTGCCCGGTGACCCGTGCGAGCCCGGCACCAAACCTTACGTCGTCGTACAGGTAAGTGTATCACCGATATCTGCTAAGTGATAAAAGCAATTTTGGAACAGTAGGTTTTAATGTATGCTTGACAATATTATGGTTAAGATTCCTTCTCCAATAACGTGCCGCGTCATAGTGCGTGCGATGCTTTGTGTCACACGCACACTGACGACGCCGGCTCATGGGGAAGCAGATTATATGCGTATGCGTCTAAACGCTGCACAGGACCGCTGTCCTCATGTCCAAGGACTGCACGCTACGGCGCACGCGATACATACGTAGATTCAAATGATATAATAAATTGCATTTTTAAAGACTTGAATTGAAAAACGAATGTGTTTGTTGCAGGACACGAGGAAAAGGAAAGGGCTGAAGGAGGGTCTGCCCGATCTAAATCAATACCTGGACAAGTTGTAAACGCCGTAGCTAAAGCAATCCATACTCTTGTAATATATGTAACATTACCAAGCGCCTCACGCACCACATTTATCATCATGATGTTTATTTCGTTTTATTGGAAACATATCGTTTTCGTGTCATTCGTTATGTTCTGTGTCGCGGGGAAGCCGTGGCCGTGTAACTTTGAAAATAAATACATATTGATGGCAGATTTGCATTGTTTATATACCAACTGATGTGATACTAGACTTAGTGCGGTATCGCAACACTTCGCTACATCAAACCCTCGGCCGATATTTGGCAACATTATTATGTCGTGTCGGAGCCTGGACATCTTTTTATTATACTGTAATTAATTTTTAAATTATAATTTTTTTATTGTAAAAGTATTGTAGTTTTAATTTACAAAACACGAGATAACTAAGTCGAGGGAGATGAGGTGAGTATTTTTTTTAATTTTGAATTTACAAACCTTATAAAAAAAGATCAAATTTTTAAACAGTTATTTTTCTATTACAGATCTCAATCCTGTATCCTGAATGTAGAAGGTAAGCATTAGTTTTATTTTCATGGTCAAAATTTAAATGTTCAAGGTTCTTGACCAATTAAATTTTCAATAGTTTTAAAGTCTTATGATGAGTTTACCACAGACCTGTTCTGATTAAATTGAGGATAACATTTTATATTTTTCTGATAATGTTTCATGTTTTTTGCGATAATAATTTTTGAAAATTTAAACATAGATTAATGTTTTTTTTTGTTTACAGATTAATCAAACCTCCCAGCTAAAGAACCTGTGAACCATATAATTTATTAAAGGTAATTTTCATTTAAAATTTTTGCAATTATATTCATGCCACACCACATCTCACTTAATTATTTTTAAACATTTTACTCAGTACCTTTGTATTATTAAGGTAAAATGCTAAAACCTATTTACAAAAACATCCCTCTCAAAAAAAATCCAATACTTGAAACAGAGATAAATAATTTTAATGATGATAAAATTGTACCTTATGCCACCATGACGGTCATTACAAGCTCAACAGGACTGATGACATCAACAAAGTACAGTTTGTTTTGTTTTAATACAATTCCTAATATATTGTGTGTATTTACAGATTAATCTGGTGAAAACGCTGTCGGACATCTTGTGATGTAATTAATGTAAGTATCTTTTAATGTCGTCTTAAAAAAATAATATTTTCATTTCCTTGTAAGTGAAGGACTGCTAATAAGATAAAACCTTTTAGTTTGTTGTACTTTTTTTTGTTTTACCTATTCTTGTGTTGTTGCTGCCAGTTTAGATAAGAAATTAAGAAAAATTAAAATAAATATTTTACCAATACTAATAACTTACCAAGTCTCTGTCAATTTGTGTATAAAAAGGTACATATAAAATAAATGCAAGCTTTTAAATGATGTTAAAACTTCCCCTGATGCCATCGTGATGGTTTTTACAAGCTCAACAGGACTGATGATTATCTTATTTATAATTTATTTGATAAATTATTGCTTTGATTCACATAATAATTAGTTCTTTTGCTCTCTTAAAGGTACACCTGAATAAAAAATATATTTATGAAGTTTCCGAGCACAATTCTTAAAATGGTAAGTACATTATAAAACCAACATCTGTAGTTTTTACTGCAAGGTTCAATTTTATTTTTATTGTATAAATTTCACTAAGTTTTATTTAATCCCCATTTAAAACATATTCTCTGTTTTGTTAAAGGAAAATATGTTTTATAAGAGATGTTTTGATTTCGAAAACCATCGGGTAATTATATAACATACTTTACAATTTTTACATGATGATCACTTCACAGACCTGTTCTGAATATTTTTGAGGTTAACCTATTATTTTTCTGACTTAATTCAACAAATAAAAATGTTTATTGATGGCTTAATAATGTCTATAGTAAATAACTGCTTATTTTCAGAAATGCAGCGGAGGCACAAATGCAGTACAAGTTATTTTGAAAAAATAATAAGACATTGTGATATTGTTATAATAAAAGTTTTGTCAAATTATAGTAATTTTATTTATTGCTTTCCTTAAAATATTTGGTTGCATGGAAAAACTATTACTGAGGAAAATATAATGGATGTACCAATTTTTAGGGTTGCTATTTTATAAACATATGCAGTCTCTTCGTGAACGCATCTTGACTTACCGTGTCTCCGACATCCCCGTTTAAAACATTGATATCTCTGTTTTGTCAAAGATGAAAGAAGGTAGTTTTTATAGAGATTTTGATCTCAGAATCCCACGGTTAGACGGGATCTGTCAAGCGTGCACATTCACGTGAAATAACGACCCATGGTCCATATAGAACCCCATAATAGATGTCCAAGTATTCCATTCCCCCTGTGAAAAATTTTACATTCTGTACAATGTCATCGGTACTACTAATAGTACAGATGAAAATGTGAAACTTTCCATAGGAAATATAGACCTGGGGAGATGGATTAACTCGACATTTTTGTTAAAGAAAAAAAAAGTCGGGATAGCAATACTGCAGTAAAATAGTTTTTCTTACTTTTAATCGTTATAGCAACACTGAAAACGTCACTGAATTACGTCAAAATCGAACAACTCAAATTCAAGGTTGCGGCTGTGCGCATGTTTTTTAAAACAAGCTACATCCGACTAAATTAATTAGTCACCTCGTTTGATGTTGAGCCGATCGTTCCGGCATTTGTCGGCTTACTTGTACAAAATGTTGCCTGAAGTTGTATTCGTACTCGGAGCACCCGGGGCTGGCAAGGGAACCCAGTGTTCATATATTTCCAAGGAGTATGATTTCGTTCACCTTTCTGCTGGTGATCTGTTACGTGAGGAGAGACAACGACCTGGCTCCGAGTATGGAGAGATGATTGAGGAAAAGATTCGAAATGGAGAAATCGTCCCCGTCGAGGTTACGTGTTCACTTATTCATAAAGCTATGCAAAAGTCCGGCAAATCGCGATTCCTTATCGACGGCTTTCCACGTAATAAAGATAACCTGGACGGATGGGATCGTGTGATGTCGGACAAGACGAAACTCTTGTTCGTATTATTTTTTGAATGTTCGCGAGATATATGCACGGAGAGGTGCCTGGGGCGGGGCGCGGCAGGCAGCGGCCGCTCCGATGACAATTTGGAAAGCTTGCAGAAGAGATTTAACACGTATATAAATGACACCATGCCTATAATCAACCACTATGACCAGTTGGGTTTGGTAAAGAGAGTAAATGCTGAGTCGGTTCCAATGGAAGTGTTCCAAGATGTCAAGAAAGCTTTTGACGGCGCTGGACTCCAGAGGATAGCTAATTAAATGCAGTGTGCTTAGACCATCGTTTGAGTGATTGTGTCATTATTTGCTATGACATGTTGCTCTTAGCGTCCATATAAATGGCACATTCTCTAGAAGCCATGAGTTTAGAATAAGAGTAAAATTTGCTTAACTTTGCAAGTCTCAAAATTAGAAGAAAAACCTTGGTAGGCAACATAAAACTTAATAGATATGTCAAGATATTTGTATTAGTGGAACTATTATTTGGAATACCTATGAATTATTAGTTAACAGTTACTTGAGGTTTTTACATTTTAATATATTTTCATGTGATGTAACTATGAAATATTCCTAAACACCAAATGTTTGCCCTTAGTTAATGTGTAAATTATAATTAGTCAAAATTTATAAATACTTAATGTTAATATAAGTTGAAATGTAGGGAAATACACAGCGGATATGAAAAAATCATTTATTTAAAATAAATGTAGTGAAATACAGAAAATATTTGTTACTTTATCTACTTTGTAGCAGTATGAGGTGGCAATTTTTAATAGTTTATGTAAGAATGAGTCATCAAGATTAGTTAAATTAATAATATCTATGTAAAAAATTGTCTATAAGTAGATATGATACAAGACATGCATAATATATTAAAAAAATGTTGGAATAACATATTTGGAAGAAAATTAGATGGCAAAAACAAGTTTCAAGAATTCTTCAAGGTTCAATACTTTATTTACATATTATTAAACTAATTTCAAGGTCATTTTTTGTTGCATTTATGTAATTACTGTCACTATAAAATAACCATTGTCATTTCAACAACTTTGGTTTTTATTAAATGACATACCAAGTGAATTAATCTGCTTTTATGTTAAAAAAAAGGTTTTTATTATATTAAAATTGTCCCAATTTCTTAGTCACAAAAAAAGAGGAATAAAGGATGTAAGATTTTTATCAAATAGGTTCAGCAATTATTTTGTTTATTCAGAATAATAAATTGATATTTGTGGTTGTATAATTATTTTAATAATGATGATGAATAAATGGATCTTTAGTGTGAAAGAAGATATGTGTAAGAAGGGAGTGAATTCAGATAAGGATTAAGATGCATGGAGGAGTAGTACATACTGTGCCGAATGGCCAAGATACATAGTATAAAATATGTCAAAAATAAATAAATTCTTTATAAGTATTTATTGCCAGTTAGTGAGAAAATGAAATATATTATAGCCACCCATTATATTAGATATAATTTGTTGGCAGCTCTGTGATTATTTTAATGGTATGTTTTTTGTTACAAGTTCAAGCATAGCTTTTTTGCTATTATCATTCAATTTTTATCCACCGACGTTTTTAAATGTATTATTTAAATACTGAGTTTTCTGAAACAGTGCAAATAAATAAAAATATTAGCGAGTGTTACAAATTGTTTTTATTACCTAAACAGCAGTTGCCCGTGACTTCGTCCACAAGGAATCAAACCAAATCTTACTAATATTATGAATGTTAAGATGGATGGATGCTTGTTTGAACGTATCTCCGGAACGGCCCAACGGATCTTGATGAAATTTGACACAGATGATGAACATAGTCTGGAAGAACATATAGGCTACTTATTAATTTTTTTTTGAATAACGCGCTGACGGAGTCGCGGGCGACAGTAAGTCTAGTAATAAATATGACCAATGTCTGGCTTAGTATAGCTTCGCAACAGTCGAAGAATTTTTCAAATCAGTTCAGTAGTTTCGAAGCCTATTTAATGGAAACAATCAAATCTTTTCTCTTTATAATATTAGTAAAGATAAGCCATACCTTTTAGCGATAAATAGCCGTAATTTTGTATGTTTATGTTTATTTTTAGGGAAGGTTTTTTTAATGATGCGTTAATATTTTACTTTCCAACTTTATTTCGGCGCAGGTGTTTAGTAAAATGTCATTTTATTACATCCAAATAAGTTACAGCAGTGTTCGGTTCATTAAAGCATAAAGTCCAGGTGCCATACGGGTTTTTGCACCCTAAAGTGTATTATCATCGAGCAATGCCTCCGATTCAGCGTCTTCGAAGGTTTTGGGTCTTCCTTCACGTGGACGGTCGTCAATATCAAAATCACCGTCTTTGAAGCGACGCAACCAATCACGGCATGTTGTTTCGCTTAGAGCAGCGATTCCGTACAATTCTTGAAGCTCTCGATGCGCTTGAGCTGCCGTTTTTTTCGAATGAAAAAAGAAAATCAACACTTCCCGCAAATGACGATGATCGCTCCGTAAACCGGCTGTAATTTTAAAAATCAAGAAAATGCTAAAATGAAAAAAAAACTATAAATGCAACTGGCATCAACCCAACAAGGTCTACGTTGTATAGAAAATTGAGAATATTTCTCTTAACAGAAATAGAAACGTGACAGAGAATATGATTGTTATACTAGGAAGGTCACGAAAGCTGTCAAGAAAGGTAACCTTCGGACGTAGCTGTTTGCATGTTCGCGGCAAAAATAAAAAAAAATAAAATTTAAAATTAGAAGACCATTGGCCTTTGTTAGTTTACCTTAATTAAATATCTTGCGAAGAGGTAAAGGCGAGGTTAATCGGTTTAAATTCATACTTTATTTTAATGAAGTTATACAAGACACAATTGCAATTTGATAATTAACAGTTTTAATCGGTTTAACCGCATAAAAGTTAAGATTAATATAATTGGTTTGAAAGTGAAATTAATTCGGTAGAGACGCAGTTATTAGGTATGCTTGTCGCAACTTTGATAAGAGTGCACAACTTTGTAATCACAATGAGGTAAAAGTTTGCTTCAAATAAAAATCGTGACTGGTTTTAACAAGGAACTGGAACGAAGGTCTATAAAAATATAATTTTTTTTTTACTTAACTAATATAAAAATTGCGATATAGTCGGACCTAGATAAAGGTAGGAACGGATGTGGTAGAAAAAAGGAAAAATAATTTCGCATTATTCATTTATTATATAAGCTAAATAATAGAGTAAATACAGTCTTATATAAATTCATACAAACATAATTAAATACATAGTATAATAAGTACATAGGACGAATACAGTGCTTAATTACATACGAGAACAACTTACCTCCTAACACCGTGATATATGCAAAATAATTGTGAAATAAATATCACACATATATTAATATGACCAACATAGAACCTTGTATCTTTAATAATTTGATGAGTAAAAAAAAACTTAATTGTCGCGAATTAAAAAAATATCATTGGAACCTCTTTACAGCAGCAATTACACTTTTCAAGTACAAATTCATGCGTAGTAATTAATTTAGTAATTTCCAATCAGTCTTTAATGGCCATTAACAGACTTTTAGAGTACAATTTCGTAAAAGAAAATTTCTACAAAAAAAATAACCTCAAAATACAAGATTCTATGTTGACATTTAAAAAGTGCACGTAAAGTGAAAAAAAAACATCCAAACCGAGATATATTAGTTATATGAAATATTTTTAGTTGCAAAATTAACGAACTGAGGTATCATATTATCGTACACGTATTATAATTGCAGTCAAAGAATTAAATTCGCTTCCCACTTAAGATGAAATATCGTATAATCAACTATCACCACAATGTCCTTTTTGTATGTTGCTAGTTTTCAACTTAATTCCGTTGCGTCTAAAAATATTTCACTATCATGGATAAGAAATAAAAGTATACGACATTTATTAAAATACATTAAGTAATAAGAAAATATCTTGAGACAAAATAAATCAAATACAGTTGAACCTAGAAAAGCGAGAGTTTAAGGGACAGTGATGTTTTTCACGGTTTTTTTTTTAAATTTTTATATCATAAATTGCCAAACATTAAGCGGCCATTTGAAATCGTTTAAATAGCGAAGCGACCGTTGCCCATAGACATACGCAATTGCATATGCGTTGCCTACCTTTAATCGACGGAGGAGAGGATGCACAGAAAGAAAATATTTTCCCTTTCCATGCATTATTCGGAAAAAAATATTTTCTCCCTAACCAGATTATTTTACTTATAACACACTTTATAGAATCAATTATAAAGATTTCTCGCTTATCCAGTTAATTTTGTGTGTTCAATAAATATAACTATGTAAAAACGGTTAAAACACTCGAGTATTTTTTTTTATAACAGAAGGGGGAAACGAGCAGCGGGAACACCGAGGTGTTCAACAACGCCCATGGATATCAGCAGTACCAGAGGAACCGCAGATGCGTTTGAGATGGTGATACACTCGCTTCTTGAAGGACCCTAAGTCGTAGCGGTTTGGTTCGTAAACAAGTCGGTGTAGCCACCGGAGAAATATACGTTAGTGTTTTAGCCGTTTCTTTATGTTTTTTTTTATCTCACGAAAGTTTGAATAATTTAATAAAGAAAATATATTTAAAATATTATATTAATTTCTATTAATACCTCGAGATCATATCTCCTGTAGAATAATAATTAAGACATTAGAAAAAACAAAAAAAAATGTTCTCAGGCACATTTTTAAAACTATTTAATTATATTAATTTGCTATGAAGTTCCACCATCGAAGCACTTTAAAGAAAATTGTCTTTGAAATCAGCAGTGGAAATCCACTTTTATATTAAACGTAATTAAATAACTTTGGTTTTTTTTATTTTAAATTTATGTAATGAAAATGTTGCCAGTTCTATAAAAAAATAATACTAACTAGGAGCTTTGTAAATTGTCATGTTATAATTTTTACTTTTAAAATTATATTCAAAATTAATGTAATATTGTTTTTAAATAACACTTTAACAGAATAATTTTATAAATTATATTTTAAAAGCTTAATTTTTTAATCTATATATCTATCTCTTTTGTCCATAGAGGATAAGAAAGAGACAGCATTATAATATACGCAGTAACCCAGCCTCACGTGTACAAGCCAATTCCTATATATTATAAATTACATAAAAAACAGAAAAAAATAACCAATTGTGCTGAATATATTTTCTTCGAAATTGCATCTTATTACTAGGACAATAAGAATGATTTTTAAATATGCTGTAAATTAAAAAAAATATTAGAAGCAGATTTAAATAAAAGAACAAATGCTTTAAATAAATGTTCAAATAAATTTCAACTTTATGGTCTATAAATAAGATCTAAAATTGACTACAGCGCTATTTAGGAATGTATTTTTCAATATCCTATTCGGTACAAAGTTACAGTACAAAAACTAACGGACAGTAAATTTAGTATCAAATATTTTTTTCTTTAATACTTATAAATCGAAAAATTAATTAAGCCTTATTTTCACTGGCGAAATAAAACAATCCTACAAAATACATATCATCGTCTCTCTCTCTTTTTGAATTGTTTCGTCAGTGGAAACTGACTCTAACATTGAATTTGTTATTATCAGATGTAATATTTTTAATTAATACTGTAAAATAAATAACATAAAATAGACTACTATTTCTCGGTTAATTTTAGTTAAAAAATAAGCAATTAAATAAATCTATTAAATATCACTGCTTGTCTTCGAGAAACATATTATATTACGGTCTTCGGTCTTCTAGTTATAAGCTACAAAGACCAAGTGTGCTGGTCTTAAAGACTTTAAGTCGATATAAGTTCAGAAGTTTTAGATTTCGGAGGGGACAGATATAGTGGTCTTTGGTCTCATTCGAAGACCAGGTTCCCCTTGGTCTTCGGTCTTTTTAGCAAGCTACTATTATCTCTCTTATTATCTTAGAAGCGATGCATTTATACTGGCGTGGCGCGGACCTCTTGGTCTTCGGTCTCCTTGGCGAATGCTAGGAAGACTTCTTCTAGCGTGGTCTCGGAGACCGAGTAGTCTTCGACGATGGCATTAGCGGTCTTGATGGCTTCCAGTTCGTTGAATAGCTCGCTGTAGCGCATCGTGTCGTTGATGTGGTAATGTAACATCGTCTGAGAAACATAATAAAGAGTTTAACAGTGAATTTTAAGCTGCAAATTTTACTAATATTATAAATGCGTAGGCTATGGATGTATGGATGTATATTTGAAGCTATCTCTGGAGCGGATCAACGGATCTTGTTGTAATTTGGGGTAGATTTAGAATATCGTTTGAAAGGATACATGACCCCGCGACTTTCTGTTCTGGAGATAAATTCAAACATCCATCTATCTATCTAAACATTCGCATTTATAATAATAGTAGGAAGTTTTTTTTTAAATATTAAGTTAACAATATGTTTAGTATAACAGAAGTAACTAACCTTGTGCTCATCTTTTAACTCGCAGTTGAACTTCTGATGCAGCTCAGACTTGAGTCGCTGCAGCTCCGACACGCCGCCGTCCGTCACTATCACATAATATTCACATATTAAATTATGCTAATTCCTTGTAAAATAGTCAAAAGGCAGATTCGAACCCACGATTAAAATATTAGTAGTCGGTACCTAAACCTTACTATTAACCTAAATAAATACACAAAAGTTCCTTTTTTTCTTATATTCATAAGTTACATTCGTTTTTCTGTAATTAAGAAATACTTTTTTTTTGGCAATAAATCAATTTATTTTCTCTTCTCTAAGATACAGTTTAACTTTATTATAGTGCATTGTCCATTGAAAACTGCAACTTTTGTTAAATTTATATGCATAGTGGTACTGACCGTCTGTAGATGAGCGCAGTTTGAGTTGCACGGCGTGTCCTGCTGCGTGCGCGGCCCGCAGCGCCGCCGCCGAGCCCAGCGCGCGGATACGTCCGTGGTTCATTATAGCTATTCGGGAACATAGAGCTTCCATCTCGTCCATACTGAAACATAATTCTCAATAAAATACAATGTATGTCTAGAATAAATCTTATTAATATTATAAATTCAAATATTTGGATGAATGTTGGTTAGGTGTCTCCAGAACGGCTGCATGGAACTTGCTAAAAATTAGCATAGATGTAGAACATAGTCTGAAAGCCTACATTAATTTCGCGCGGACGGAGCTGCGGGCGACATTGAGTCTTTAGTAAATTAAAAGGAAAATAATTTTTGGGTACTCATCCATTAGATTTTTGAATTCCACTCTACCCCTGTATGCAGTTACCTGTGCGATGTAACGAGTGTGGCACGGCGTTGTGCCAGACTGTGTCGTATGGCTGCCCAAACACGTCTACGCGCGGCCACGTCCACGCCCGCAGTGGGCTCGTCCAGCAGCGTGACACGTGAGGCCCCGCCCCCGGCCCCGCTGCCCCCGCCCCCGCAGAGCGCGGCCGCCGCCCCCAGCCGCCGCGACATGCCGCCGCTGTAGCACGACACCAGCCGCGATCCGTACTGTTCCAGACCTACATACATACAATCATTTACTCTATACACTTTTTAGATTAACATCTACCTCGAAGGACCAATATTTACTTGATTCGCAGATAAAAGTTAAACAGGTTCGCTTGGAATCATCACATAGTATATAAAGAACATAGGTTACGTGCTGGAGGCTTAGTTTTGGTTATCTTTCCCTTCCCAGCTTTTTTTGTAAGAAAAGGATGGAAAGAGGATGTGAATTTGATAGAGGAGAGGACGAGAAAAGGTATATATTCTTCTTCCACGCATCTCCTACTCTATTGGATAAAGATAGGCAACACATCTGAATTAGCAGTCTATGGGCAGCGGTCACTATAGTATGTCTAGAAAATCTCGGCCCGAAGGACCAAAAAGCAGATATAGAAACAGTTTCTTACCGACGATCTCAATCCAGTTATCAGCTTCAGCCTTGACGTCGTTTGCTGCCAGTCCGCGTAGCGTCAGCACCAGCGCCAGGTTGTCGTAGCCAGACTGGAACTCGTCCAGACCGAAGAACTGCGGGCAGTAACCCAGCGAGCGAAGGTACTAGCAAAGAATACAAAGCCTTTAATAAACCTACATTTCAAGTATTTAGTCTTAGTAATTACTTAAAAAAAATAAAAAATATTAATTTTGAAAAATGCTGTAAAACATACCAAAGTTTCAGATTGCACAAATCGCGATATCGAAGAGATGGTATTTTCAGATTAGTTACTGAGTTATGGGTCCTTAAACATCTGTACATAAACATATTGTCATCCCTCTTGCTCTGTTTGGAAATGAGAGATAACAATATGTTTTTGTACAAGTGTTTAGGCGGTGAAAACAGACGGTAAATCTTACTTTGGTACGATTCTTGTCTAAATGGTGTCCGTTGGCAAAGACAGTGCCGCGTGTTGGACACTCCTCGCCCGTTAACATCTTGAACGTGGTCGACTTGCCCGCGCCGTTCACACCCAACAAGCCGAAACATTCTCCTGTATATCACAATATATATAAAAATAAAATCGTTTATTTCATCTTTATACCTATATCTGGTTAGTAACATGTCTTATATCTTTGTTAGTACTTAAAATTATTTATTTTTATATACAATTCCATGAAAAAATGCATCAAGTATTCACTGGAAAGGCCTTGACTACAATTGCCTCGATTTAAATCTCTGTATAATCCATTAATTCTTTAGGTATTTTAGCAGCTTATAAGTAAATTTCGGTCGGAGCGTCGGTGGCTCAGTGGGTTCGAATCCCGCCATGTACCAATGTGTTTTTATAATACGATTTCCGATTTACATATGTACATTTATCCGACGTTCTTACGGTGAAGGAAAACATCGTGATGCTGCACATATCTGAGAAGAAATTCAAAGATAAGTGTGAAGTCAACCAACCCGCACTTGACCAGCGTGGTTGACTTTGGCCTAATCACCCTTAACTTAGGGTAGGCTCCGAGCTCCTCGGTGTGGACGTAAAGTGAGCTGATGATGATCAAGTAAATTTCGTAGACTTTTTAAAATATTTCTAGTCCTAAAGAATTTATTTTTTTGTAGTCACAAATTTTTTAGGTTATTTTTTTTACAAAAGATGTTTCTGTTATGTAGATGTTACAGACCTTTTTTGACAGAGAAGCTGATGCCCTTGACAGCATTGGTTGACTTCCTGATGAGCTGGACGTAGTTTTTGTGCAAGTCGTCCACCAGCATCGCCTCCTGGATCTGATCCGGTGCTGCACAACAATTTGATTTATTACATTACTACGTTATATTAATATTTCATTTAATTTTATCAAATTCTTGTGATGTATGTAATATTTAGACTCTTCTTGGCCATAAAATATTGAAAAATTAAGAAAATTGTTCTTTCTCTATTGTTATAAACAGAGATTTTGGTCTCTGAAACCGACGTTTTGTTTGCTGGGCGTTTTAGTGCTTTCAAAGCCTACCTGCTGCAATAAGTTACGTATTAGTCACTTTAAATTTACACTAATCGCGGGTTTCTAAACCCAAAATCCCCGTTTAAAACACATTGTTATCCCTGTTCTGTCAAAGACACTGAGAGGGATGTCGATATGTTTTATACAGTTTTTGGTGTCAGAAACCGACACTAAGAGGGAAACTGAATGACTCTGTGTAACTCACGCAATGCAATAGCCTTGTTGACGTAGGTAGCCTCAGCACGCACGAGGTCGTCAGCGGGCGCGTGCGTGCTGTGAGCGCGGTAACGTTTGTTGAACACGCGGTCTGCTACTCGGTTGAACACACCTTCTTGTGTTAGTATTACTAACGTCTGTAGACATTGTGATATAACAAATTATATAACATTTAGAAGAAAAAGGAGAGAGGGAGAAAATATAAAAATAAGAATGAGACAGAAGATGGGAGGGGCTAATGTCTTTATCAAAAATCGCATAAATATTTTCACTCCCACGTTTTTGGAAAAATACTTTTTAATAGATATGACTCAATTAGCTACAGAAAGAAAACAGGGTAAAATAACACTTTACTTATAACTTCGAACTAACTTCAACTAACTTACTATACATATAACTTAACTCATATAACGTAACTTATATAACTTCGAACAAACAGGGTAAAGTGTTACTTTACCCTGTTTTCTTTTTGGCCTCACCATATATCCAATGAATTGACAAAACATTATAATCATGGACTCTGCGGGCGAGAACTCATCAATGCAGAAGTAACAGCGCGGGTTGCGGTTCAATTCTGAAATTATAACATAAAGTCAAGTCGATAAGTTTTTTATATATCTTAAAGTGGAAAGAGAGCAAGCCGTCACCTGAATACGCCGAAATAGCGAAGCGAACGCTTCCTATAGAAATTCGCAATTACAGATAACGCATCTGCAACGCCTACCATTAATCGTCGAAGTGTTCACAGGAACAGAACATATTCCCTTCCTAAGCGTCCCCTCCTACATCCACTTCCCCTTTCCCACCCATTCCTTATAAGAAGAGTGCGGGAAGGGGGGAAGAGGAATAAAATTAGGCTTCCGGCACGACAATCATCAGACTGCACATGGAATTACTTCGCAGTTTTAGCGTGTATTTTGTGTGGTCGTGGTAGTGCTCTGAAGCTGACCCATTCGTGTGTTTACCAGTTGAGCTGGTGTAAGCTGGAGTGTGTCTGTGTTATAACTTTATCGGAGTGTAACTCACGGCAACACGTGACACCATCAAATCCATCCTCCATAACATATAATGCTGGACAGCGATGTTTGTTGAGCACGCAGTATGCGTTGAGACGCGCCACATTCACGGCTTTCATGGCAGCCACGGTGAATGTATGAGGCGGTGCAACCCAGCCGCATATCACCAGCAAGTAGTACGAAAAATCCATATCCTGCTTCTCCTTGAAGAAATCTGATGCTTTCTTCATTGATGTTGTCAGAAAACCTATATAAAAATATTTTGTTTTATCATTAACTAGCTGTCACCCGCGACTCCGTCCCTACGGAATTAACTTAATTGGTAGCCTATGCGTTCTTCCAGGCTATGGTCTATATCTAAGCCAAATTTTATATATCTATTTTCGCATTTATAATATTATCAATGAAGTATTAGTTAAAGTTTATTATTTTAGAGATGTGATGTTACCAAATATGATGATGCATGCGACGAGCAGAGTGCTGGAGCCGCGCTCTCCGAAGTAGAAGCTGACGAGGTACATGAAGGCGAAGAACGCCAGGCTGCCCAGCATCAGCACCACAAACAACGCGCCTGCACAATACAGTTAACAACCGTTATATAACTCGTAATCACATTCTTCAAATGTTCTCATAACTTGTGTGCTCTCCAATTGCTTCCAATTGCTGTGAAAATGTGTACTTTTTATTAAAAGATTAGCTATCGCCCGCGACTCCGTTCGTGCGAAATAAAAAAAATAGCCATTGTGTTCTTCCAGGCTATCTTCTCCATCACTGTCATATTTCATCCAGATTCCTTGTTCGTATATACCTTTGAACAAAGATTCATCCATCCATCCATCTAAATTTTCACATTTATAATATTAGTAAGGTAAAATAATTAAGAAAAAACAAATAATCGCTCATTGAACCTACACAACATCATCGTATACTCTTAGATTCTGCGGCAATCGGTCTAAACATCTCCACTAGAGGGCGTGATGTAGCGAGATTAGTAAAAACGATAATAATCTCTTGTTAAGACCTCCTATATCAAGTTTTTTTTTAAATTAGTTAACCTAAGAAGTCCGGTTGTGTGAGCGTGTTGTCAGTATCAAAGAGGGCGGCGACTGCGATCGCGGGCAGCAGCAGGGAGAGCGTGCAGAGCGCCGCGTGCGCGACCAGCGTGCTCGCCCAGTGCAGTGCGGGCGCGCACCCCGCCAGCACGTGCAGGTGTCGCGCGCCGGACTCGCGCTCCTTGCACGGCAGCGACACGTAGTTTATGTTCGTCGCCAGTACCACTACAAATACACTAATTATTAGCATTTTTTTATATTGGAATGGCATAGCCACGCCCTTTCTATCCCCTTTTTAATCTCTTGCTTTTTCATATTATAGTTTTTAAATATCTTAGCCGGTGTGAACATCTCGCGAGTGTATGTGGAATATTTGCGACAACCGCCTCCTTCTCGTCATTCTGTATTATGACATTTTTGGTGTACTTTATGCCCGATGGGGGCCGGGGGGTACGTTGGCGCTTGTCACAAATATTAGTGCACAGAACACAATTTTAGGTGTGTTGGTGCGCAAAGATGCGGGGGATAGGGCACTGCGCAGCGAACCTTGATCCGCCAAGTTATATGAAAAGAATTTTATATGCATATCAACATACTAAAAATATACTAGACTAGGGCGCCACCTACATTTTCTATACGTAATCTTAGCAACTAACCAAACACAACAACAGTGGCCCACATAACAGACATAATCAGTGACTTGGGCTGCACAAGGACTTGGCTCGCAGGGCTCGCCTTGCCGAGCAGCGGCTGGTTGTACGTCACCACTTCAGCCTGCGCAGGCACACCGGACAACATGTTGGTCAACAAGTTGAGAGCAATGGGTGCGGCGTGACGTATGCGGGTCGTGTACAACACCTGGAAAGACATTTTACTATAATACTGGCTGTCGTCCGTGACTCCGTACTCGTGGAATTAAAAAATATATAAGTAAGCCCATGTGTTCTTCCAGACTATGTTCTATATCTATGGGAAATTTCATCAAGATCCGTTAAGCCGTTCTTGAGATACCTTTAAACAAACATCCATCCATCCATACATCTGAACAAATTCGCATTTCTAATAGTTAGTGTGACGACATTTATACTGAAAAAAGAAGTAATTATCAATTAACTACAATAATAATAAGAATCTTACAACAGCATCAGTATCGTTGATTTCAATTCCTGCAATATATTTGTTATATTCCATGATATCTTCCTTTCCGTACTCGACGAGAGCTAAAAGAAAAAAAAGCTATTTAAACGTCGTAAAATATCAAGTCCTCGTAGGCCACCAGATAGCGCTATTATAAATTGCGATCTCGATTCTCAATTCAATGTAGAGTAAAGCACTGATTTGTAATGGATTGGCTACAAGACGTATTATTTTGTGCCTATTTGATGTTCGCCATTTTGACGCAGATGGTAGCGGTGTAATGGAATCGAACTAATAAGATAGAATTAACTGTCATGTCCAAGCAATCGCCTATCCATTTATTTCAGTGCAGTAAAAGTACAATTTGCTAGGCATTTTTCTAACTTATTATTATTAGTTTTAATTTATTTTTAACTTACAATGAACAACATCAGATGTGGGTTCAAATCTGACGTCACTGTATCTATCTGTCAAAGTCCGCAGTGCGGTGGGGGCGCTAGTGTTGATGTGGTACAACAGGCGGGGTTCAGGCAGGTCGTACATGGCGAGGTGCAGACGTGTGCTACTGTCACTTGCTGCTTCGGGTTCCACTTCCACCGTCACGTAAGTGAATATTATAAGTGTTAATATCGGCATTATTATTTGCTGTAACAAAGGTAAATCAAATTAACTATCTTTAACTTTCTGAAAACGTAAAGTACCTGGTTTATTACGGAATTATTAGTTTACTACGTGTAGCATTTGTTCCGTTATTTGTCCGTTATTTGTCTCGTTTACGTACCGACACGTGTTACCGGTCCAAAGGTCTGACATCGACTGTCGCCCCTCCCCGGCCTGTACTTATGACGTTTACGGTCGAGACAAACAACACTACATTTATGCATATACGTAGTATATGTGTTCTTCCATATTATATTCTACAACTATGACAGATTTCAACGAGATCTATTCAGCCGTTCTAGAGATACCTTCTAACAAACATACATCCATCCAAACATTTGGATTATAAGTAAGATATATGTATAAAGTTAGATTTCCGCAGTGCGGATAAAAAAACTAAACACAAACTAAATACGAAAATTTCAATAGATAAATTAATTGGGTATTTTTTTTGTATTTTTACAGATACGAATGAAATTAGAAATAGACGTAGCTTACAGTCTACAATAGAGAAAAGACAAAGATTTTTTTTTTAACCAAGCCGACGATTCACGCGCAACAGATAATAAATAAAGGTGTAAGATTTGACAAATGATGATGTAGGCCAAGGAGGAGATAAACCAAGGATGATGAAATGATGTAGGCACAAAGGGTATCTGTAAAAAAAAATTATAAACACAAAGATATTCTTACCAGTACTAATATGGACAGTTTCTTGGACATCATGTATTTGAACTGTCGCTTAAGTAACACTTGCAGTTGTCGCAGCAACAGCGCCGCCCCGCGCACTTTCACCTGCGTCGCGTCTGAACAAAGTACTATGATTTAACAGACCTCAAAATAGATAAATTTGTGATCTGATGAAATCCATACATTGGACATACAAAAATGTAGATGAATAACTTTGAAAGTCTTTCAACAATTACAAACATTACTTAATTACTGTTGAAGTATTAGTGACCAAATCAGCAAGAAATTATAAAAAAAGTGAATTTTCGGAAGAAAAAGACAGCAACTAGGTTCGGTATCCGTGACGTTCCGTCTCCCGGAAGGGCAAAAAGTGGATTGCGGTTCGTTTGGTCACGCCAAATGAAGGTCCGTGCTCTCTGCCTACTCTGGGTTAGACGCGTTGTTCGTTTTTTCGTTGAAATTTTATTTCTTACTTGAATTTAAAAAAAAAATATTTAATATTTATTATCCTAGGAAAGGTTTAAATAGATTTATCATAATGAAATCTCACCGAGAGCCGCAGTATCTACCGTGTCTTCTGTAAAGGTGGTCTCCACGTCGCTGCACAATCTGCAACGAAAGGTTAACTGTAGCCATTTATGTACTTTCGCATTTACTTTGTTTAGTAAAGAAAATAGTTAAAAATTCTTTTTCACTACTAGTAGTATCCCGTGACTATCTTCGCGCAGAAAAAAATAGCCTAAAATATTCTTCCGTGCATCAGCCACCTTCCAGTTTCAGTCCCGTCAATATCGGTCCGTACCAGAGATTACCCGGAACAAATACGAACTTGCGGTCAGACAGACCGACAAAAATTTTACAATTTTTTTAACGTTATAAGCAAAGCAAATATCAAAGCAAAGCATCATGTTCGTGATATATTATATATAATATGATTTTTTAATATTACATAGAGACACTCCAACTTTATTAATTCATCTTACTAATATTATAAATGCGAATGTTTGGATGGATGGATGGATTTATCGATGTTTGTTTGAAAATATCTCTGGAAGGGCTAAAAGGATCTTGATGACATTTGGCATAGATGCAGCATATAGTGTGGAAGAACACATACGCTACTCATTAAGTTTTTTTTAATACCGCGCGGATGGAGTCGCGGGCGACAGCTAGTTAGATAAATTTTTAAAAACTTACTTCAAAAACACCTCTTCTAATGTAGAAATCCCTACACCAATGGAGTCAATCGCCAGTTCTGATCTCTTGGACTCTAGTTCTGCGAAGAGTTGTGGAAACCTGGAGGTGTCTTTAGCTGGCAGGTTGTAGGTGACGGAGTTGAGGCTCTGCTCTCTCATGGAGGCATCACCCACCACGCTCTGTACTGTGCTGGTGATGGCTGCCTCCTTTGGTATACCGATTGTGGTGAACGATAGACGATAACCCGTACCTAAAACATATTCGATGTTATAGCCTGACTGGAGATATAAAAACTCTTTCCATATTACGGGAACTATGAATAAGTTCCACTCGATTAGAAGATATGAATATTTAAACGTCAGCCGTCTTAATAAAGTGTGTTATTTTTTTTTAATCATAAATAAACAAGCGGCCTCCTGAATTCGATCGACCAATTGTAGATGCGTTCATTACCCTTAATCGACGGAGGAGGGGACGCACTGAAATATTTCCCCTTCCTATGCGTCCCCTCTTCTGTCTAATCCACTTCCCCTTCCCCCCTTTCTTTATAAGGAAATAGGATTAAAATTAAGCCTCCGCTATGCAAACATGTATACCGAGAGCTCGCTTAAGATGCATGGTGGTGGCATGACATCGCAGACGGCCGAGATGCAGCGCGGCCACGCGGTCTCCCAGCGCGTCCGCCTCCTCCATGAAGTGTGTAGTCAGCAGTACTGTGCGCGACCCTCGCAGTGACTGTAACCACACAACCACGTATGCCATCAGTATATACCTGTTATATCTAAATTTTATACATTTGGATTATTAAAAGGTTAAAGATGTTATTTATACAAAAAAAAAATCTAGCAAGAATTAGAAGATGTGTTGCACTTTTGAGAAGCTATCGAGTTTATATGTAAATCAAACTTATCTCACTGGAACCGTACATATTTTTAAGATCATAAGTAGCCTATGTGCTCTACATCTATGGCAAATTTAAGCAAGATCCATACAACAATTCTTACAAACATCCATACATCCAAACATTTGTATTTATAATATTAGTAAGATATTTTCAATGTTGGAATGTTACAAATGGAGTTACCAGCAGCAGATCCCATAGCTCCCTTCGTGTCTCTACATCCAGTCCGGAGGTGGGCTCGTCCAGCACGAGGACGCGGGCTCCGCCTGCGAGTGCACAGCCCAGCTGCAGGCGACGCCGCATGCCGCCCGACAGCTGCGCGCTCCTGCTGCCCGCCTTCTCATACAGGCCCAGCTTCTCCAGCAGCTGCTTACACTCCGCCTTCGCTTCCTGGTATGAGTAGCCTTTGAGCTGGAACAGGCGATATTTCCATCAAAACCAGCACTGGATTCCAACTGACTTGTTTCATTGCGAAATTCTTAAAGCCACCTTCTAGCTCCATCATCAGATTAGCACCATGTCAAAATGCATTATCACGCGGATTTCATATATATGCAAAATGAAATGTAACCGGGAAATTTATCAAATTTAATTTGAAAAATGACAAACACGAGGACAGGTGAAACTAAATAAATAAACGTAATATTAGACACGTTACTAACTAGATATGCAAGTTAAGCTCAATTAAAAGATTTTTAACGTACCATTGTAAAGAACATGATATGTTCTAACACAGTAAGGTCCGGGAAGAAGAGGTTGTGTTGTGGACAGAGGCCGAGCGTCTTCCGCACTTCGTCCTGCTGCGTGGCCGTGTCCAGACCCTCCACGTACACTTTGCCTGATGACGCACTGAACATTCCTGCAATACAATACTTAACACGTTAAATGCTTCGTATTATGTAATCTATATATATAAAAGAAAGTCGTGTTAGTTACACTATTTATAACTCAAGATCGGCTTTACTGATATGGCTGAAAATTGGTGAGGAGGTAGCTTAGAGCCAGGAGACGGACATAGGATACTATTTATTCTTTTTTTTCGAATTTATGCCTTGAAAAGCTGCTTTTTATTTAACTTATCTATATATGTAGTTTTTTTATATATCCACGCGGACGGAGTCGCGGCATCAGCTAGTTTCTTATAAAAGTGAATTTGCTAAGCATGTGAATTTTAAAGACATTGAATGTGTTAAACCAGATCGGTGTTTTGTTAATAGTATTTCTAATGTTTGTAACACACATCACAAAAATATTACCTTAATTTGTTTTTTAAATAGTATATTCAGTAGACTTTTGTATGTATTTTCTTAACGTTTTCGTATACGTCTCGCTTTTGGTTCGCTTTCGCGGTAGTGTGCGACATAACTTACCGGTGATAATATTCATGAGCGTGGTCTTGCCGGCGCCATTATGTCCCAACAGCACGGTGATCTCGCCCTTGTATATATCCAACGAGACATTGGACAGTACTACGTTCTTACCAAATACCTGAGAAAATCATAAATTTAATTTGGTAAATAAAAAGTTTAAAAGTACTTGGCACGTCGCGCAATAGAGGACTCTTGTACATGACGTGCCAAGTTTAACGTCGAGTACTTTACACTAGTAAAAAACTCTAATCAATATTTAATGTACTTACTTTAGTAACATTATCAATCCTGATGCCGGGCTCCAGATCTTTGGGCACCTGTTCGAAGTACAGAGGGTCAGCGGTCAACGTCGTCGACAGTTCCTCTGTCTCCACCACACCTTCTCCTGCAGCCACCCCTGGAGATACCTTGTGCTCGCTCCAGAACGAACGCTGTTAAAACATAGCTTATTAAATATTGTAGTTGATTCATTTATGACATAGTACAGCACAAAGTAGTTATAGTTCTATAGTGGTAGAGCTCGCTTTAACATCTTCGCACGAATTGTCCCGGCTCGCCCGGTGAAATACCACGACCACACAGAAGACAGGCCTCAAGTGGAAGCAATTCCCTTTACTTTCAGTTTTTCTTCCTATTGAAATCATCATCATCAGCTCACTATACGACCCCACCGAGGAGCTCGGAGCTTACCCTAAGTTAAGGGTGATTAGGCCATAGTTAATAAGCTAATATTAACACATGAAGGAAAAAAATTGTAAAATCATAAATCTTTCGTCAGATTACGAATACTGATCAGAATTATTGATTTATAAAAGAGCATGCTATGTTTACCTTAAACATGAAGTTCCAAGGCAGCGCCTGTCCGTATGGTCCTGGGTTGACGAGCGCGAGGTACCAGGCCAGCGTGGCGAACAGCATGGTCTGCAGCACCAGGAACACTAGGCACAGCAGCGCTGATATGCTGTGCTCGCCATGCGTCTGCGCCATGTTGCTGAACGTCAGACCGTGACCTGGTAACGTACAGCTATACTTAACCACAACTTTCAAACATTTTTCTATCTCCGTTTTTATTAAGAGAAAGAAAGAGATAGCAATATTTCAAGGTCATAATAAGTAAATGCTAGTTCGACTTTGGTCTTTAATATTGCTGCATGTAGTCTCGGACTTTGATTTTCTGCCCATTACTGTTTAATAAGTGGGTAGAGAATTTAATTCTTCGAGTGTACGTACCGTACTTCTCCAGTGCGGCGAGCTCCTCCCAGAAGAGCTGCATGGGCTGGTGCGGCAGCAGGGCGGTGAGGGGCAGCAGCGCGCGCGGCGGTCGCCGGCCCGACACCACGCGCGCCGGGATCCATAGCGCGGTGTACGCGAACATTGACAACGTCACCGCGTACTGATCTGATATACGTATTATAGTTCCACAATATTGATATTTATAAAAGCCCCCGATCATTATAAGCATGTAATTATTATAGTGTGCATCTCCATACATGCTCATACCGATTAAGCGCACGATAGACTATCGGCAGACTTAAAGTTGGCGGGGGCTCTAAAAGGATAGGCGATTGCTTGGAAATTACAGCTTTTGCTTCGTTCCAATTTAACGCGCCTTGTTAATATTACGTGACAATTAATTTTATCTATTATAAGTTCGAATCCACTTCATCGCTGTAAACCGCTTTCAGCGTCAAATTGTCGAGAATTAAAAAGGCCCAAAATACTATGTCTTATGACCAGTCAATTTATGGAGGACAGTATTCCACAGGGATCTAATGGCAGTCGGAAAATATGTGAACTAACAATGTCATCTTGACAGCTTCATTGATTGACCAATGGGAGTTACCGGAGAGTCAAGTACAAGATACTGGACGGTAATACCTTTGCCTCTTTTAGTTTTTTAATAAATTTTTTTTACCCTTTTACGAGTTTTAATTAAAATTGTATATAGTTTTTAAAAGTTTTAACATTTATTATTGATACATTGTTTTTATCATTTTAGTATTTTACCAGTTTTAATCTCAATTGTACAACAAACATAGTTTAATAATTTTAACAGTTTAATTTAGAATAAGTAGTTATAAGATTAACTTTTTATAAAGATTTTTTCACATTTTATTTAAATAAAGAGAAACCCGCAGCCCAGGTCCCTGACCCAAACATGTTAGGGGAACGAGAGGGCAGCATAGTGCCGCCCAAAAAAAAACAATTGTAACTCTGTTAGCAGCGCCCCCTAACGTCATTTGCCAAATACGCAAAGTCACAAACTAAAGACTAAAGTACTCACTATTCTTGACAAGATAACTGCAGGCAAAGGCCATAGCTATAACACTGATGAAGTGCAGCGCCAGCATCATACAGATCAGCCCTGTGCTGGAGATGAGCACTGGGTTGGAGGAGGCTGTGAGCAGCGCGGCGTCCACCACGCAGTACACCACACCCACCGGCACCACATTCAAAAAGTGGGATAACGCCAACATATTGCTGGATACTCCCGCCATTTTCACCAATTCCTAAAAAGAATAAATCTAATAGTTTTTCAGCACTAAATCTGGCAACCTAGCAAGCCTTCACGTGTAAACATACCTCAATTCCTGAAGTCCGTTCATCCAGTAGACGCGCCATGAGGAATACGAAGACCAGCAGTAGAGACAACCAGCAGAGGACAATCAGCGCCTCCACCAGCACGCCGATCACGGTATTCATGTTGCGGTTCGTCTTCACGTACGGGAACTCTTGAAGAGTAACATTCTGGAACATTCGATAGTTCCAAAACAACACGTAAACTTTGTAAGCAAACGGTATACTTTTTTTTAACATAACTCACGCCCGCAACTCAAAGGGGTAGACGGAGACCACGGATCTCCATTTGGCACAATTCTGACACACCTCTTTCGCTTCTACATTAATACATCTTTTCATCGATCTGCGCGGAATGAGATTTACATTTTATAATTTTTTTAATATCATAAGGTGGCAAACGAGCGAGCGGCCACCTGAAATCCACTTCCACTTCCCATCCTTTCCTTATAAGAAAAAGGGTAGGAAGGAAAAGAGGACTAAATTAGGCCTCCAGGACGCACACTCATCAGACGAAACGCGGAATTGCTTCCACTTGACGCCTGTCTTCTGTGTGGTCGTGGTATTTCACCGGACGAGCCGGGCCGATTCGTGCGAAGATGTTAAAGCGAGCTCTACCACTGTTAACCCTGGTTTTTAAACGCATAATGGACTTCTAATAGGTGTTAATCCCAAACTGATGATATATAACGTTCGTGCTGTAATTTGGGGTAAATAAGGTTGTAAATTGTGACTCACTTGTTTGACATCGATTCCCTTTAATTGCAAATAACTTGTATCAATCGCCCACTGTAGGCGCATAAATGTCTCGTAAATTACACCTGAAATAACAATATTGACATGACTTAATACTGTACTCAGAGTGGAAGAAATATACGCTCCCTTAGTGACCAAATAATGACTAACGGCTAGTTTCTGAGACCAACATATCTGTATAAAACATATCGTCATCTCTATTATTGTGATTGACAAAAAAGAGGTAATGTTTTAAATGAGGATATTGGTCTCGCAAACCCATTATAAGTGCGGCAATAACACATTATTTTAGCACCTGAAATCCGCAGAGGTTTTTCTGACAGGAAATAAATAAAAAAAACTTTTTGTCAGTACTTATCAGTTTGTTTTTTTCCTCTAAAATATTATGAGGTCAACGTTTTTAATAGTTTTAAGGTTTTACATGAAGTCAACGTGTAACTTGGAATCAATGTGTGACTTGGAGTCAATGTGTGACTTGGAGTCAATGTGTGACTTGGAGTCAAAATATGACTTACCGAATGCTTTATGCGGTTCCATGCCACCGTCGAGCGGTATGTAGATGTGGGTCATGAAGTCATTTTTCATGCGAATGGTGTAGTTCAGAAGTTGAGGCCACTCACCCGTCATGTTCTATTAAAAATACATTATTTATATTCTATACATAAAAATATTACTTAAACTATGTTTTATTATTAAAAACGTAAGTGGAAAAACAACACCGTGGGTTTCTGATATCATATACCGGTTTAAAACATATTTTTATCTCTGTTTTGTCAAAGATAATGACAGGGATGACGATAAAATAATGTACATACAGAGATTTTGGTATCAAAAACTAACGGTTAATATATAAAATTGTAATGAATAATTGGTTTATATAAATTACATTATTTGGCTCCGATTAATCTACTCTGTGACATACCAAAAGGGTAATTTGGTTATTATTTCTAAATTCATTAGGTTCATTTTGCCTTGGTTACATAAACAATAGTCTGCAAGTTCACTGAAGCAGATCCATAACCGCAAGGATGACACAGAAGCCAAGCATCGGTTCGCAGAAACAATTGAACGCGGATGTTTATATTAGCGTAGGGTTCCAATTCGGAAAACTGGATACATCTAACACTTCTGAATAAACACACTTAAGGCTATCCCTCTCTTTCCCCTTGGAACAGTCGAAACGACTATATGTTTGTCACCGTCGTATTTGTACTAAAACACTTGAATGAGTGAATGTACACTGGAAGGTAAAGGTAGGGTTACATACGACTTAAGTACGTTAGAAACTTAAGATTACATGTTACTTGAATTGATCTTATTACCATATTAAGATTATATTACTTGAAATAGTATTACGATTACCATCGTGGGTCTTATTAATTACGTAGGAATATAGGTTAAGGGAAGGGAAAGGAAATCGTCTTTCAAAGTCCATATATCCACTTAACATCAAATAATAGTGGTTGGTAAAAGAGGAATTATTATAAAGAGATTGCTAATTTTGTTTTAATAAAATTACTTGAAAGCTATAGGGTTGATTTAAAAATTCTTTAACGATAAGTATGTTACATGATACATGGACAACAAAGGTTTAAAGACTGGCTTTAAAAAAAAAAGCTATGTTTCTTTAGCAGCTATTTTTTATCTTTATCTGTATGAAATGTTACTTTTTATGAGATCACACTTACTATGTTTATAAAACAAAATTTAAACTCTATGACAAACATACAATGCAAACTAATACACAAATGTTTTGACTACCATTGTCATAATAACCTTCGATTTAATAACAGTAATTTGAATCTTTTGTCTTGGAAATAGAGTGTATAGTTAATATTTTTTATTTTATCGATCAGATACGATACATTGTAACTAATTTAATACATCTAAATGTAGACCTTTGTATTCCTTGTTGTAGGAAAACAAGGAGGTTTTTATTCAAACTTTGAAGACCTTTTATTTTAAAGAAGTGTTGAGTTTAATACTCGACCGGAAATATCTATTTATATTTGTCTGATATGATATGAAGATTTACCTGGAACACGACGAGCGCCTGATAACTATTGATGGTGTTAAGGTAATCATTGAGTTCTGTCTCATCCTGAATGGGGTAGTAGCCGCGCCCTGACATACCAACTAAACAAAAAAAAATATCACTGGCCAGTATGATTATGTAATTCTTTATTTCTTATTACATTCAATAATCACATACCAATTCTTAACTTTAAATAAAATTGTCTTTCTAATGCAGTATAATCCCGTTAATACGATTTCTCGTATAATACGCCATTTTAGGTAAGTCCCTGCAACTTGAGACATGTTTGTACGTGTTATATCCCATAATACGCTCGCTCCCTAAAAATCGTATTAACGGGGTTCTACTGTATTATAAATGCGAATGTATGGATGGATGTTTGTATGTAGGTATCTCCAGAATGGCTGTATTGATCTCTCTAAAATTTGGCACAGATGTGGAGCCATAGGCTGGAAGAACACATTATCCACTACTTAAGTTTTTTAATTCCGCGCAGACGAAGTCGCGGACGACATCTAGTTCAATATAAAATTGATGTTTGTTGACCAAACTATGAGTTTTTACTGCTGAATTGCTTGTACAAAAACATAGTATCTCTGTATTTTCAATAAGTATAAATTTGAAAGAAGGATTGCAGCATATTTTTGTACAAGTATTGGGTTCGGAATGGTTATAGAAGCTTAGTGTTATATAAATACTCACTGGGGAATCTTTTTAGGCGGGGTAATCCTAGTTTTCCTGCGACTTTGTCCATAAGATGTCCTGTAAGTTCCGTATCTGGGGTGTACAATACCAACCAAGGCCCTGTGATGTTAGCAAGGGCTACTGGCTCCTGTAGAAAAATTGCAGTATGAATACACTAAGAATGTTAACACATTTCATGGCATTTATGAGCATGAAAGTGGATTTGTCAGCTGAGATGGGCACTGAATGGATTAAAAATACAGTGAAACATAGATAAGCGCAAAACCTTTTTTTTCTTTTTTTAATAAAATATTAGCAGTTTTTTTTTGTAAATTTGCTAGTATTTCTTTTACCATTCCAACTAAGCTCTAGGCTTGTGCTAGGATATGGTTTACGATAATAGTCGAATGGCGGATTCGAATCCCCGACCTCTTGATCGGAAATCCGTACCCTTAACCATTAGACTATTGACGCTTCACATCTTCATAAGCAAGAAACTCCAATAACACAGAAACCCTTATAATATAGTATAAAATAAAAATCAATTGATGTTTGTTAGTCTCGCTAAAACTCGAGAAGGGCTGAACGGATTCATCTTATCTTGGTCTTGAAAATTTCGAATCATTGCCGGGAACTAATTAAGTTTTTTCATTCCATGCAGAAGGAGTCTACGACTTTACGACTCCATCCGTGTGTAACTATACTACGTATAGTATAAAATATTGTGGTTCCTTTTAGTTCTCACTCATTCTAATAAATAAATATTTGAAAAGAAAAGAAAAAGAAAAAAGATATAAACATTTACATATTACAAAGAAATATACCTTAATATCAAGAGAAAACATAATTTTAGTTTAATATAAATATTTGTTAATATTATATAATATATATGTTAAAATTTCAATCTTTCTATGCATTAGTGGATTTCATAATAAATTATAGGTACTTAAATTTTTATTGCATTTTGTTAATGTGGCCTTCAACACAATTTATTGCCTAGAATTGCAGCAATGCCAAGTTTTTTATTTACTTGAGCCAAGTTACAGAATTTCCATTGAACTTAAGATACAGAACATCACAAATAGTGATAAAATGTTTGTTTCTATAAAAACCTTATTGCTTTGATATTGTTTATGGTTAAAAGTATTACACACTAGCTGTATCCTGCAACTCCTTCCGAACGGAATTAAAAAAAACTTAATGAGTAGCCTATGTGTTCTTCCACACTACAATCTACATCTATGCCAAATTTTATCAAGATCTGTTTAGCCAGAGGTATCTCCAAACAAACATCCATCCTGGAAATCAATCCAAACATTTGCATTTATTATATTTGGAAGTAATTGTGGGTTATGTGAAAATAAATATTGTTAATAGTGCTTCATTATATAACCATGGGACAATGCCAAATTGGCATTGAAAAGTCACATTAAAACAATTGTGCCAAGCTATGTTTAGTGGAAAGACTTTTTAACATATAATTTAACTGTAACATTGATTATGGCTTGTGGGTTTCCGCTGCTAAATAATTATACAAAAACATTTTGTTATCTCTCTCCTTCTTCCTAAAACAATTGCAATAATACTATGTGTTTGTACAAGTGTTTTGACAATGGAAACAGCTATTGGGTCTGAGAAGAAACACAATGATAAAATCATATGTTGGTATTCAATAAACATGTCTCATTGTTGTGTCCTAACATTTTGATTGTTGTTAATCAATTGTATGAAACATTTTTGTATGAATAATTAAATCAATAAATAAAGTAAAATTATATCACAAAAATGGTTATATTTATTTGTAAAGATATGTGGTAAGGCTTTTCATTTGTAAAAGAATTGCTATTAACTCAGTGAGGTTATTTCTGTATATATTTTAAGACAATATATCATTTTTAAATTAAAAAAATACTTACATATCTAATACATATAGGAAACAATTACTGCTGTTTTGTATTTTGCAGGAAAGGAACAATCATAAATTTTTCATACATGGTAAGATAATACTAATATAATAATTAAAGACTTACTGGCTTATATACATTGATGGAATTTTGAGCATATGTATTTACTGGTTGGTTAATGTTATCCTTAAATACATAAAGGAGAATAAAGAAGACAGCGGGAGAGATTAGTTCCACAGCCGTACTGATGAACCTTCGCATTCTCACTACCAGATGCTTGAGCATCAACACCTTAATAATGCCTTTCATTTTTCTATCACCAACTAATTTCATTTCAACAAAATTGTGATCATATTTATTGGCATATTAATATACACTTTTATTTTTATGCCCACGAATAAACAATATTTATATGAAAGTCATATATCTGCTTAAAAACAATGTTAATCGTTTCATCGTAAATATGACACAAAATGTTTTATGGATAAAAACTGTGCCACGCCTATTTACGTGAAATTAAATACGGTTTATATATCAAGAAAATGTCACTAAATAAACATATTGATCAATTAAATTATTAGAATTATGTTAAATATTGAAATTAATGAAACAGAGCTTTCACTCCTGCACTTGCCACTTCTTCTTTCACAACTTAACATACATGTTTGACGTTTGATTTGACAACAATTTGACAATGACAACAATGTCGTGATTATTTACTCTTTGATATTGACTTTTTATTTTATTTTATGACCTGGTAACATTGATATTGACGTTTTATATTCTGACATCAAAGAGTAAGTAGAACATCTACTTCAAACATTGACCCAAAGAGTATATAAAATATGCATTGACCCTTATAAATGGACAGGCTATAGGACGCGATTTTTGTGCTTATTTGATGATGAAAAGTATATAGTAATATATATTAGAGGTAGCATTAAAGGACAGAAAGATCAACAGTTGCAGATGTCTATCGGCAGTGGTCGCTTCCGTAATTTGCTGAATACATGTGGCCGCTTGCTCGTTTGTCACTTTAGGACATAAAAAAATCCTATTACACCTATTAAATTACACATAACTAAAATCTTGATTGAACTAATGCAAAACTAATTGAAATACGTACACAGATAAAGATTTCAAATCATTGGAATTATATAGTATTAACCATGAAGCTCGTGACGATATTTGTAATTATTTATGTAGTCAAATCAATCGATGGGTGCAGGAGGCCTGTCTCGACCAAATCGGTAACAAAGCCGCCAGGGCAGATTGACTGGGATAAATGGGATCTGCCACCTTATAACAATGATTGGGCCGGGTTTGTTGATTTATTAGGAACGAGGGAGATCAAACAAAACAAATCGGCGATCTATGCAGATGACGACCGTATAAAAGATGCACCAGGATTCCCTAGTAGATGGATGGGTATGACAACAATTTTACATCAATCGATATTATGCGGATATCCATCTAAATGCATATTGTTTCATTTGGTTTTGGTGTTTTCATGTCAATATGCCACTAAACAGTTCATTTTCATACTAGATGTTGGACCTGGTTTTCCTGGACAGGATCCACCAAACAAAGCTAAGGTTGTTGGTTACGTTGGGCAAGCCGCGTATTGTCTGGATCCAGCTGAAAAAGGAACTGGTACAACATTTTGGTATTTACGGTAAGAATGGTGATTAAAGGATTAAAACAAGGATTAATTAGCCCCAAGATGATGTCGAGGTTTGCTGACCTATATCAAGACGTGGAATGTTTCTCTAGATTCACTAACTATGCCAAAGTTTTAAATTGCTTCTTTAGCTGTTCGGGTAATTATTAACGACCTGTGTGTTAATAAAATTCTCAATATAAGATTGTATGTAGGTTATTTAATATATCAAACCCAGACGTCATCGCATTAAATTTGGATAGACATGGACAAAATACATGTTGTATTTTCCAGATGGTATTATGACCACGTGCGAGGTCGTTGCAGAAGATTCGTGTACTCCGGGTTCGGTGGAAATGCTAATCGGTTCATAGACAAGTTGACTTGCGAAAAGAGCTGCAAGCACCCTCCAACATCTTGTTGCGTCTCCGAAGTAAAGATTGACTTTGAAAAATTCCTAGACCCGTATGGGCCTCCAGCATTTGGTTAATCCAGAATATCGGTCTACACTTCTGCCGGTTTTAATTGTGAATATTTAATTAATAGATAGGTAATATTCTTACACTGAAACAAAATTATTGGTATTTCTGTAGTAAATAAAATGTACTAGAGCTATTGTCACAATATATTTTCACCTCGTACATAAGAAAACGTGATAACATTAAAACGTTAAAGTCATACTAAAAAAATGCAGCTTCAAAAAAGCGACTTTCGCATAACCATAGATAATATTACAATTTCTGCGTTGAGAATGTTTAACATAGCTGTAGGTTTTCACAGTCCAAACGTTTGTATAAAGACATATTGTCATCGCTCTATATGTTAAGACACTGTAAATTCACAGTAAACTATGCATTCTGATACTTACTCTAAAATTTATCGCACTACATTCCTTGTAAATGCACGCTTAGAAAAGTACCATCACATAACGTTTCCGCGATTACCAAGCGCGTGAGCTACCAGGTCTGTGCTTGGCGCACGTTAAAGCGGCTGTCTTGTACGAACTGGATAAAGCCGTCCTCCAAAGTGCCGTCGAACACCGAAAAGTCCTCTACGATGTCTGCAAACTCCTGCGTCAGCTCGTACACCTTGCAGTAGACCTCGCTGTAGTGTAGCCGCGCCTCTACGATGTACCTCAGGCAGGTCTAGAGACAACGAGTTGTTAGAGCAACTATTGGACCAATAAATTTTTCTATACTTCTACTTTTCGATGAAGAATTTAAATGGTATGATAAATTATACACTAAAAGGTGTACCTTCTATCATACCATTTCTTTACTTATTATTATATCTTTACTTTTTCTGTAGAAAGCGAATCTTCAAAAATCTTGTCCTAATATACATAATTCGGATAAAACAGAAATCAATATTTAAAAGTAAATACTTTTGATATGTAATAAATGACATAGTTACCAGATGTTCGTCTCTTAGGGGACTTTTGAATTCTGCTGTGAGCTTTTCTTTTAGCGTTTCGACTCGTGATAATCCCGGATCTGGTATCAAAATAAATATATTTAATACGAAGGATTACAGACTTTTTTTCGTTCTTCTGCTTAAAGCATAGAAAATTACTAAGACGTGTGGAATATGTTTTGAATTGTATACACAAAGGTTTAGTTTCTCTTCCTAACTTGTATTCTTTTAACCTGTATGAAAACAAAGCGTTACCTTTGGCCTTTACTTGTAACATTTAAGAAATAAAAAAATGCAAATTGTCATATAATTTTATTCTGGTTATAAAATAGCGATGTACATTATATTATATTATCAAAATTCTTGCTACTTACCTGTTACAACGCTGTTGACGCGCAGTTTGATGAGCACAGTGTGGCCGCGAGCGTACGAAAGCCTGAAGTGCGTAGGTGTACACAACATGCTCATCTCGCCCTCGTCCAAGACCGTGAAGTTGTTACACAGCCGCTCAACTTCCTCCATGCTAAGAAATACATTTATTATGACAGTAGTCTTGTCGCACTGACATTCACAGATGGACTGAGCTATGCGTTCACTATCTGGCAAAACGTCATTGCTCCGCCACATTCGGAATCATATTTTAAAGTTATGTGTTTGTGTTTTACTTGTGCGAGGCTAAGACGAGGGAGCGACCGTAGCAGAGGTTGTACTCCAGGGCCTCCCAGATAACACGGCGCGCGGCGGGGTCTAGGCCGTTCGTAGGCTCGTCCATCAGCAAGATAGGTGTACCACCGCTCAGCGCCGTCACCGTACTCAGCCTCTGCCGCATGCCGCCACTCAGACCCGACACCATGTATGACCGCGACTGATCCATACCTTCATACAGCAAAAGAATTTCAAATACATAAGTTATTATTATTTCTTGATTAGTACTGGCACAACTAATTTAAAATTAACACTGATGGCTTATTTACCAATAACTTTGAGCCAAGTATTATTTTCACACTCGATATCCGCGGCGGTGAGGCCACGGAAAGCCAGCAATGTTCGCAGGTTCACCTCGCCGCTCCGGAAGAAGTCCATACCGAATGTCTGATGACTGTAGCCAAGACTGTGTAAATACTGAAAGTAAACATGTTGGAAAGTCGGGCTGTTTAGTTAAATCGTAGGTGTGCAGGCAAAACGATAATTGTCAGTTAAACTGCACGATATTCAGTTCTGCCTACACACGTACGATATTACTGAACACTTAAACTGTTCAGTTAAAACTGAAGGGGTTTAATGGTCTTTAAGAAAATCAACATACATTGCCCGGCTCTTTATTAATGAAGTAGCTGTTGGCGAAAATATTTCCTCTCGTGAGCAAATCGTAGCGAGTTAATATTTTGAACACCGTAGTTTTCCCGCTGCTATTTAGTCCGGTCAATCCGAAGCATTCCCCTGTATACAATCAAGTTGTAAAGAATTAAAACTTATCAAACCAAAAAGCGAAGAAAAACATATAATGTAAATCTCTTTCTTACCTTTTCTTAGAGAAAAGTTAACGTCTTTCAAACCAAAGAATTTGCATCTAAGCTGTAATAGGTAGACTTTCCAACATCGACTCACAAGCATCGTCTCCTTTATGGTTTCAATTGCTGTTTAAATCAGAAAGACAAGGCAAATGAATACAACACGAGAAAAAGCAAAAGCAATTTATTGGTAATTAATTGATTTATGTAGATGATGGCTACAAGTATGGACAATCTCCCGATGTCTATCGACACAGTCTAGGAACAAATTTCGTTATTTTATGATAAGATTCGTACTTCAAACTAACTCACGCCTTTCAATCGTGGTTCTTACTTGCTCCTTTTCTGCAAAAACATCTGGATTATCATATTTTCTAGTTGGCAGAGGATAGGCGCGCCGTTTTTTCATCTCATTCCATAACTTTTCTAAATGTTGATACTCTAACAGTAAAACAAGAGTCTGCAAATGTTAAGATTACTTTTATGTTAAGGCCATTCGGTTGTAGAAACGTTCCTTCTATATTTCAGCAACAATTTATCTATTAATAGTTAAGGTTTACACTGGTTAATAGAACTTAAGGTGTTGGTGTGATAAAATTGGTGACCATATACTTACAGTGAAAACTATTACTTGAGCAGTATTTATTAAGAGCGGCACACCCATGCCATCCGTCGAGACTCTGTAAGGACTGAACCAGTGACCATACCCCATGGACCTGTCTGAATAAATTTGTAGTTGGCAATTTGCTTTGTGTATTTGTCGTGAGTTTTTGTAGACTTGCAGCAAATTAGGAAAAATAAAAATGAAAATTACCGCAACAAACATCCGAAGGATAATCCAGCGGTCCTTGCGCCTGGCTACAAAACTGGTGGTAATACAGGCACATTTGGTTGTAGCGTGCAGAATTCGTAAGCCTTTTGATCGACAGCACGAATATATACATCGGTATGAACATGCTTAAGTTGTCCACCAACAACAGAGTTCCATGATGCACGCCAAGGCTCTCGTAAGCGAACTTAAGTACATGAGCATACAAACCTGATGTATGGAGATATATTATTTATGTATTTCCTACTAAGATATAATGTTATAAGTGTAGATAACACAATAAGAGTTATTTACCAAAATAAATCAGAAGCAGCAAAACTACCAAACCGATAGTCTTCTCATGGCAGAAATACGTCAGGAAATATACAAATGTGAAAAAGCTCAATCCCGACATGATAAGGGCAAGTAAGTAGGCATCTGAAAAAGACAGAACGAGTTTGGAACTCTTTTCTTCTTGAGGTTGAATTCTCAATAAAAAATTGGAACACGTTTTATATTCTTCATTACTAACTCATTGTTTCGACGTTATCGAGAGTGTCGTCTTTGTCGAGTACTGTGGCGGCGATGATGGTGCCACTGCAGTGTAGCAGGAGATAGTGGCCCATGTTGTAGAGCAGCGTGACCAGCCAGTAGAGCACAGATGGGCAGCCGGCCTTTACGTGCAGGTAGCGAGTGTACGCCATTCGCTCTCGGTACGGCAGCATTATGTCATTCATCGCCGCCGATAATATTACTGGCCATTTAAACAATTGGATAGGTCAGTCGAGTAAGAAAGAAGGATAATTTACCAAAGGATTGATGTTAATATTAGTTTTATACTTAAGTATGATCTTTAAAAAATGTTAAACTAAACTTACTATACACGCTTATAGATGCGAACATGTAACAATTAAGTTCACTTTTCGGCTTTTTCCAGTCAAAGTAGCCGTAGATGACGCGCATTGTGATGAACGGCTCGTAACTAGCACCCAGCCGCTGAGCGGCTATGATGTTGCTAAGCAAGTTTAATCCAACAGACGCTGAATGCTTCACGCTGCTGTCGTAGTTTAGCTTCGCCTGGTGATCGTCCACGTAAACATCGATGATATCTCTGGAGAATGTTCTCTTCTGCGATTTACATTTATCACAATCGCAGTTATCTGCAAAAAACAAACAATCAAAGTGTGATAGCCGAAAGTTGGTTCTAATTTTGCATAAGCTTCCATATCGAGCTTTTAATAAATGGGAGGGGGGGCTCACGTAACTATCATTGTTTTCCTTTGACAGAGCCCAAAATGTATAACGCCAAAAATATACGCACGGTGACCAGTTTGTGCTTTCGCTTGACGCAGTATGAGATGTGGGTAGGCGATCTTTAGTTTATCTATGATGTCGCCGAGGTCGCCACTGCTGCTGATATCATAGGTAGCAACAGGCGCGTCTACTTCATTGTACATGTTCAGGTCCATTTTTAAATAGGCCAGGACATGTGGATTGTTTAACACGTTAGTTAGAAGCAGGCACAGAGCCAAGGGACAAATGAATTGCTGAAACAAGTTTTAAACTAATTAGTATGTTACTTAAGTTCTTTTTGCCAAGTCGCGGGCAATTGTAGTCACTACTAGTACCTTAGGGCAATAAGTGCGCGAAGAGATTTTTTATTTGCGTAAGAATGATATGAATCATTTTTAATATTTACATGATTTTTCATCAATAATTTGAGGTAGGTATTCAATTGGTACAATTTAAAACTTACCAGCAATAAAAACGGTACAAGTTTTGATAGACTAAAGTCAATCTGCCTCCTGAACAATTCTCTCGTCTGGGTCAAAAATACCGTCCATCTCGGGTCAAAACAGAACTCCTCTTAAAATAAACGAAAGATTATTTACTTAAATAGCAATTGCTAGACATCACTGATGATTTTTTTTAATCAAATTTAAACCTTAGAAAAATATATATTTAACTCACCCGATTTTTTTAAAAATTGCACACTTTGGTGAAACGCATCCAAGCAAATATCGCTACACAACCTAAGACACCAAAGTTATTTAAATAGACGGCTCATTTATTATATACATAATAGGAATAAAAATTTATATTTAATTAATCAGCTTTCTTGACCTCAAAGATTTAATCTCTGTCGAAGATAAATAAAGCTTAAAGGTTGAGAACAGCCACGTAATTACCTTAAAAATACAACTGACTCACTTCATAAAAACTTCTTCCATTGTTACAGTGCCAATCCCAATAGATTCTATATCAAGCTTGGATCTGCAGGCTTCAAGCTTATTAAGGAGGCACTCCATGTCAGTTGCGGGGGAGATTTCGTAGACAAGCGTACGCAGAATCTTGTCGCTCAGTTCAGCATCGGGAGACATCTCGCGCATCACTGAACAGATCTTGTGCAGGTCTGGTAGCTGTCGCGTTGTTATTGACACACGAAATCCCGCACCTTGGGGTCAATTGGTTATAATTTGTCAAATGTAACAAAATAGTAAGTTTTAATGATAAATCCGCCGTTTTATATTTTATATTGAGTTCATTAATGAATTACACTATCATGTATATACGTATCAAAGGATCTCATTTGCCTCGTTGACTATTACTAACATATTTACCAATTGCTTTCTTGAGATATTCTGGGGTCGCATAGCATCGTATTATGCCCGAGTGAAGGCCCAGAATGCGATCGGCCAAGATGTCCGCCTCGTCCATGTAGTGCGTCGACATGATTACCGTCCGATGACCTCGGAGTGTCTTGAAATGATCAGTACAAGTAAAAATATTATTAGAATAAGAAAGCTGCCGACATGAATTAAACAATTCAGAAGACAAATTCTGCTCTCACAAAGAGGGTTGGTGGTAAATGCTCACCAACAATATATCCCAGATCTCCCTTCTGGCTTCGACGTCGAGGCCGGAAGTGGGTTCATCCAGCAACAGCAGGTTAGCTTCGCCGCATAGCGTGCAGCCGAACTGCAGTCGCCGCAGCATCCCATGCGACATCTTCTCCGGCGTCCACGTCTCCTTAGAATAAAGGTCCAACTGCTTCATAACTTCTTCCGCGTAATCCTGCGCTTTTTCCATCGAATCACCTCTCATCTGCGCCACATGAAAATATCAACTCTATATTAAAGACTTCTAGAACCTCATTGGTATAATTAAGTTAATCATATCCTAAGTATTTGATAGTCATTAACTAACAGTTTTGAATGCTACTTACCATGCAAAAAAACATTAAATGCTCCCGGACAGTCAAATCAGGGTACAAAGTATTGCTCTGAGGACAAATGGCAACTTTACGTCTCAAGTCTACTTGACGTGTCAATGTATCAAGTCCGTTTATATACACATTTCCTGATGTTTGTCTTAACATTCCTGAAATGAAAGTTGAATTGATAGATAAAGCAACCATCGACTTACAATAAAAAGCACTAGCAGCCAATGACACCATCGAATAATCATTTATTTGGTAATCCAACATATAAGTTAATAAATACCAGTAAATTATTAAAACTTTCGTGAAACATTATACTAAACTGATATATAAACAGGGCTAAACACTCACGTATATTCATCCGGAGGCGGCACCGACTAGTTTACATATCAGTTTAATAAATACCAGTTATAGGTACTAAACATATAATCATAAACTACCTGCAATAATCGATATAAGAGTTGACTTTCCCGCGCCGTTGTGTCCTATAATAACGGTGATCTCCCCCTCGTAGAACCTAGCTGATATATTATCGACAGCGTATATCGTCGCTCCAGTGTTTGTTCTGTACATCTAGAAAAGTGATCTTCTCGTTATAGTTGTAAGACATTAGGTAAAAAAGCAATTAAACCATATTGAATGAAGGCACAAAACAAATAAAACGTCACTCTTCATATCTTACCCTCTATCATTGAAGGAATTCAAGCTAGAGGTCACAATGAAATGGACACTGTAATATATGAATACAATGGAGATTATTACGTTACTTAGTAATAAGCAAAAATATTAACCTTCTGTAGATTAACAATGTCAACCGCTTGAATCGCTGGTTCCGGAGGTTGCTGGAAGAATTTCTCATAGGCGGGGTCTTGATTGATCTTCATTAGATTATCACATTCGGTAATTTGTGGTTTCTCCCAATATCCTTTCTAAAGTAAGTTAAATTCTTTATCTTTTCACCTACAATGCTTGCAACCGAAATTTTGAAACAAGGTTCAATAATATTTTCATTCATTCATTCATTCATTCATTCATTCATAATATTGGGAGTTTTTGGGTTAGGACCAAAAAAGAGTGCATTCATCATTTTGCCTAATTTAGCAAGTAATATTTAATGATAACGTGTACCTGACAAAGAAAGTGCCAAGGTCTTTGAATACCGAACTTCCTCGGCCTTACAAGCTCCAAGTAAAAGGTGAGTAAAAAGCACATGATAATTTGTAGAAATTGCATGATGAAAGAAAGTCGAATGCTGCCACTCCTGCTACCGTCGTCGAAGCGGTGAAACTCTCCGGACCAAGTGGAAAAATCAATTCCTACACCTAAAATTTGATTAACATTCTTAATACTTGAAATTTTACCCACTCGTCAATACGTTCGAAAATGAATTGGCCATGCACAAAAAACCAGTGGACTATACGCAGCTAGAAACTTATAATTATTAAAAAAGGCTGGAAATTATTTATAGATTTATGGAAGTGATTGTGATGTAACAGAAATGTAACGAATTCTTACCTAATTCACTAGCTACGAATATCTGATGAATAAACCAGATGAATGGAGCGTGAGGCAACAATCCTTTTAGGATCAATCCTATAATAGTAAAGCTTCCAACTTCAATGATAATGGCAGGGAACCACGTGGCGAGGTACACTAACATTGATATAGATACTGTGTACCAAACTGAAACAAATACAATAAAATACAAAAGAGTAAGCAAAGGTTACTTACAGTAGCTTAGTGCAAATTTCTCAGACTTAAGTTAAACACTAGCAGTAATTATTCTATATTATATATATCTCACTGGTTTTGGTGATGTAGCTGAGGACGAAAGCGAATGCGATTACTGTCATGTAGTGAAGGAACCAGCCGGTGAATGTGATGAAGGGGTTTGCCTCGATGTCCAGCAGTTGGCATACTATACTACTGCCCACACCCATCATTAGCGACGGTGGAAATGAATTCACTAATTGCGATAGACATATCATTAACGACGATGCCCCAGCCATCTCAGAGATCTCCTGCAAGATGATGAAGTTATCAAAATATTTATTTTGGTAATTTATGGAATCACAAGAACTCCTCCATCAAACATATCTTTCTCGTTTGGAGTCAATTGGAAAAATGCTATCTTGATAACCTCTAACCTGAGTATTTTAATCATATACGTATCATTTAATTTCATAAGTGGAGTCTGCAGAGGATACGGTAATGGAAAATAAAGTCGAGAGCAACAAGTTAAAGAATAGCAGGGAGGGTTATAGGGCATTAAGTCCTGTTACATTTTGCATTGAGTCTACGAGAAGGATAACTTTTGGTATCCGGATCTATGAGACATGTTTAATTGTAAGAAATATATCGGACTAGATTACCTGGATTCCTGTTGTTTTGTCTTCGTTCATTCGCAGCATGATTTGTGTGAAGGAAAATATGGGGGCAATAAAAGTGACTGCGATCAAGGAAAAGAATAAGATATCGGATAATGTACGATCAAGGGCTAGTTGGTGAACATTACTCCTCAGTTCCTTCATTGTTATATTCTGAAACCACAGTAGCTAACTATATTAACTTACTGAAAGTTGAAGCAACAAACATAATGGTTAAAGGTATAGACTAGCGACTAGGAGGTTGTGGATTCCACTCTGTTATTATCGTAATCCTAAAGTTTAGTGGAATGATGAGAAAACGTATTAAGCTATTAATAAACTACATTTTATTCTAAATAAAAGAAATGAAGGAACGAATGATTATTGTAGACACACCTGCAAATCATCATCTGTGTTGGCCTTTATTTTTATAAAGCTTGAATCTATAGCCCATTGAACCCGGAGGAATGATTCGCTTAGTTCATCTGGAAATAACAATTAAATTTAATAATTATGTACACGAAATGTGACCTAAAAATAATGTGGATCGAGTCTGTGTATTACGTTTTCATCAATATCATATTTAATCAGAATTTCATAAATTCCTGTTGTTCTTTGTTTTAATTTAAGTAGGGATCCTGATCCCTCATTCTTTGATTAGATGCCTATCATAAGTACAATTTGCACCATTTCTCATCGATGGATTTAAATTGGCAGCCTATTACGTAAATAAAGGACAAGTATTTGAAGAAATATACTCAAAGAACAAACTTACCTAAATGTTCGTAATCCCTTCTCCTTGTCATGACTGTGAGGTGATGCGGATTTCTTAAATGTATTGTATAATTAAGATAATCCGGTAAATATTCACCATCTAGATTCTAGAAGGCAAATGATTATTCAATAAAAAACTAAGCTAGATTATGTGATCCTTAAAAGCGAATCAAAAGTAGCGCGGTTTCATGAAGCATTGATGAAATTGAAGATCTATAAAGTCGAGATGTAATAAACAATGTTGGTATGACGGATGCTCAAAGATTTAGTACTTAATTTGTAACACCCTGTTTATAAAACATAATGTACCTCAAAAACCACAAGACCATCGACGGACTGCAATAGATTCAGTTCTTCTTCTGATTTTATTTCGTGCGATCTCATGTAACTGTGCTCCATTTTATCTGTTTCATAATTTTTATCATTAACCTAATTTACTTTTTAAAAACCTAAAACTTTAAATATTCTGGTTGGCCATACCTGGAATAGGTTCGTATGGAGGTATGTACAGGGTGTCCGAAACTTTTTCTATAAGCCTGCTAGTCAGTTCCGTGTTCGGTGTGTACACAAGATGCGGCGCCTGCAATACACAAATTGCTTGCTTACATTCTTTAATTTACAATTACTTTTATTCTATTTATACATTATCGTGAACCGTTGCGCGGTTAGTCATGCCAGCAGAAAAGGAGCTACGAATTGCTTCTCACAAGTCCACCATTTTAACCATAATTTTTTTTAACATTTTAGAATGATCTTTTATTTGTATTAAGTATAAAAAAGCGGTCCTCTATGAGGACTGAGGAAAGGGATACAAAAAAAACCACAATTCGTAGAAATAAGATAACAACGCACCCAGAGTGAAATTAAACACGAATTTGATACTTGAAAACAAGCGACCGGCCCATTGTATCACCGATCAATCACATAATAAGTAAAACGATGTTCATGTTTTTGGTGATTTGACGCAGTGTCTCTTACCGTTGGTGGAGATCTGAGAGCATTGTCTTGTATTGTCGTAGTAACGTTGCGAAATCCAATCAGAGGTAATAACAGGAAGAGTGGAGTGAACAACTCCAATATTGTCATGCACATGTGTCGCTTTCTTATTATGTAATGCTTCCACATTAAAACTGTAAATACATTCATTCTGAGTAACTATGTCCGGAATATGTTTTTTAAATTTTGAATGATTGTTGGCATCAAATATAATGCTTTATCGTAATTTTTATATCATAACTCCTCTGTGTTGTATTTATAGACACTATATTGACAGTGACGTGATATTAAAAAAGATTTAATTTAAGCAATGATAGAAGTAAAACCTCTGAGAGGTTGTTTTAACCGAATTTGACGAAACATCTGTACAGAAGACATCTCTTTCATTCTCATGTTGTGGAAATAGAGATAGCTATATGTTTCTGTCAGGCGTTTCAACAGTGTAAACTGTAAGTCTGTCGACAAATATTGTTTAAAAAAATTACACTCACATCAATCTGACAGCTAGCTGTAATAAGAAGCAAAATAAGGATAGTAGTTTAAATTAAGTAAAGGATTTATTAAATAGGAAAATGGCACGTAAAGGACAAGTATCTATACAAGATACTGTAGAAACGAACGAGGAGTTCCAGGAGTATTTGTTAGAACATATGGATCAGCTTATATGTATGTTTTCATAACAAGATGACAGTATAAATTCGAGTTTTCATTGTGGAAAACGTTTGGACAAAAACGTATTCTCATCCCTCTCTCATTCTCTTGGAGAGAGAAAGATGAAACTAGGCTTTTGTATGTTTTCGGTTGTAGAAACTCATGGTAATCTATATATAAGATAGTGGTACAGAGCCAAACCTTGCTAAATCTTTTAGATTTTTTATAACTTCTTTGTCTTTCTATTTTACGAGTGCCATGTTCTTATTTCCTAAGGCCTGGCCTAATCACCCTTAACTTAGGGTAGGCTCCGAGCCCCTCTGTGGGGACGTATAGTGAGCTGATGATGATGTTTGCATTTAGAATTTGCGTATGTGCACCTACCAAATTTTTGTTAAATACGGTTTTGTTCATCACACAATTATTCATTTGATGTTTGCTTCAGGTATGGAAGTGTACTCAGACTTCTGCGGCCCATGCCTGGCCACCAATAATGCTATCAGGAAGGGCAAGCTAGAAATAGGCCAAGATAGGATAGCTATGGGAAAGGTATTAAAATATTTTTCGTCTTTTTGTGAAATTGAGACATATTATTGTCAAGTAACCTCTACTGTGAGCAATTAAGTCCCCTAATATATATATTTTTTAGGCATTGGCTGACCAAATAGATGTCTTAGTAAGGTTTAGAGGCAAGAGCGAACCAGTCTTTCTTTTTATAGTTGTAAGTATAAATCATGAGATATAAATTATCCGATATGGGGCAGTCAGAAAAAAAAGTTTGCAGGCAAAGTGCGTGTCTGTGCATGGAACAGTGTTTGTTAATATTTTACCCAAAGATTTTTAGCGCCCCCAAGGTACATGCTATATTCTTCGTTTCTTAGGCGCGTGTTATTGCCTTTAGGGTTAGCAACCTGGCCGCGGACGAGAGCGAAAGCGTGCCCGTGGTCCCGTCCCGATGCGTTGGAGGAACAGAGGGGTTTAGTGGGTATGCCTCCGCTATGGAGGAGAATCCCACATAACTACCGCGTCCCCCCTGGGGCGCGGAGTATGCATAAAGCATTCCCCTCTAAAAAAAAAAGGGTTAGCAACCTATATGAATTTCGCAGAAGGGTAAGCTGACGCGGGCTATGTTCGGCGCAAACGGCATCGAGCTCTGCCGAATCATCGAGGAGGAGCTCGCCTTCATGAAGCAGGAGTTGGAGACCGGCATAGAGCGACCCAAGCAGCCCATTGAAGAACTTCTGCCTGAAGAGTCTGTACGTTATACAATACTCTTAAAAAGGAATTGCAAATTTTGTGGAAAAATTTTCTGAGCTGACAAAATCTACAATCTACAAAGAAGAGCGTTAAATGCAACCAGGGTATGACAATAGGTTTACTCATTTTTAGAAATATTTTAAACAACTGTAATTTAACACAGGAAAAGATAGAAATGGAATTAAAGCAAGAAGAAGAAGCACATCAGGCGAGAGAACGTATACGCATCCTAACGCTGGCCGCCCGCAAGAAGAGAGTTGCCGAGAGGATGGCCAAGGACCTCACGCAGCTCAACTACATCATATACTGGCCACACTGCCACCAAGCGCATGTCGATCTTTACGAGAAATGGGATCTTATTAGTACGTTTTCAGTTTATGATATCTGTAAAGAGGAGATGCCAATATTGAAAGAATACTCTATCGAAAAAATAAAATTGCTTTCCTACTGGAAGATATTTCTAGGTTTTAGCTAGGTTATGTATGAATTATTAGTAAATCTATGAATACATATCAGACATCCAGGTGGGCGCTAAGGAGACTATACAGCTGACGGAGGAGATGGTGCCCGAGGCGTTGTACATGAGCGACGTGGAGCCGAACGAGGCCTGTGTGCACGCTCTGCTCTCCGGCGAGGTGCTCGTCGTGCTCTTCAAAATGTTTGACACAGATACAAGGAACTTTGTCAGTACGTGATTTATTGATGATGTACCTACTATTACCCAATACATGAACACTCTGATCTACAGAAGACATAATACAAAATTTGTTGACAAGTAATTACGAGGATAATGACTTATACATATTAGCTAGTCTCAAAATGTGAAGTGAACGAATGAAAACTGTTAAATTGCTAGTAATGACAATGTATTTCTAAAGAGCTACTCCGATACACGTTGTACGAGGAGATTCCGGTACCGAAGGAAGATGTGCCGCCGGAGAAGCAGGTGCCGCTAGTGCCAGCCTATGAACGCTATGCCGCCGTCAGCAAGACAGCGCGTGAGGTGCGTCGACAGCGCTACGAGGCCAAGCTCGAGAAACTGGTAAGTCACAACAGTGGTCTTAGATAACTATGATATACTCTACAAAACAACTTTATTTTTTATGTACAATATTTAAGCGTTTAGAAAAAGAAGAACAGGAAAGATTAGCAGCAGAGCAAGCACGGCTAGCCCGAGAGGCAGAAGAGGAGAGATTGTTCCAGGAGAAGAAGCGGAAGGAAGAGGAGAGGATGGCTAGGATACAAGCTGGGGTAAGTCGCCTAACAACATTCAATATAACTACGCATTACGTAAATAAATACAAGAGGTGGTGCCAGTGGAGATAGACTTGGTGACGTGTGGTGGACGTTGATAAAAAAGTCCAAATTTCGAACTGTTAAAATTGGTTAAAAATAAAAGGACCCTTGTAACTTGACAGTTGCCTGCTGAGCCTGAACCGGAACCGGGCGAGGAAGAGGTAGAAGGGGAAGGTGTTGGAGAAGAAATCGTTGAGGAAGAAGCTCCGGAGGTTGTGGAAGAAGTAAATAAGATTTTATTTATTTTTTGTAGTCAAACTTATGTAAGAAATGGAAATAGAAAAGGCAAATTATTTTCAAAACTTTAGAAATAGATACGATTTAATTGTCTACCGGTTATTGCGTTCAGAAATCAAGTATAGATTTTTCTATCTCCAGGAGCAAGAAGACCATGAGAAGGTGGTGGAAGAAGAGGAGGTTTTCCACTCCGATGTGTCGGTGGAGGGAGAGGACTACATTCCTCCGGGAGGACTGTTCGTGCCGGGACTATACGCGCCACCTAACGAACTGGCAAAAGCTAATGGACTTGCTTTCTTTTTTCCTAAAGTAATTTCTGCGTGCATAATTAATAGAATGTAGAGACTAATTAACACTGGACTTTAAACTAACCTCAGTTTAGTTATTCTGCGTCTCCTTCATTTAATGACATAATAACTTTGTTGCTTGTGTTCTTTCATATGTAGGTGGTGCAGCAGATAACTACGCTGGAGTCGGAACATCTGCCGCCGCACGTGCTAGTTATGTTCTCTGTGGACAAGCGGCACGAGGTAAAAGATGCCATGAAGCAGTTCCCAGGAGATATCATACAGGTCATTTCACAGATATCAACGTGTAATCAATTCTAAAATCTTTGATTACTTATTTCATTCGTTACTTATTTACATAAATTTGACTCAACTAGAGTAGCATCAGCAACTTTAGATCCTGCACGAATGATTCCCTTGGTCGGTAGAATATCACGACCAAGCCGAAGATAAGCGTAAAGTCGAAGTAATTTCGCCTTTCGTCTGTTGAATGTTTGTTGTTATAATATTTATAACCTAATTTATTAATATAACTAGAACAGATGATTTAAATTGTTTTATAGGCTGGTATTTTTATGGGAGAAGACCCTTACGCTATGGAGCACGTCGCATTCACCATAAAGCAGTACGACCAGTTGACGAGGCTGAGGAAACAGTAAGTTTTTACAGTTTATTTGCCGTTTAATTCTTTCGGCGGTTCAAGGTCACTTAGACCGCTGAACTTGCAATAGCCGCAAATAGGAGTAGCTAGTGATGTAACTAATAATTGTTACTACATTAACACGTTCAATGCTAATACGATTTTATTGGAAATCTTAGCAGTGAATGTGTTAAAAAGCTACAATTTATCACCAACAGTCGTGACCGTTTAGCGCTGATGGTCTCTCGGAAGCGTAGCAATGCTCTTCTGACCCTGGCGGGGCTGAACCCGTGTTATATAAGCAGCGATTTAGAGTCTGGCGAGAGAGACTGCCTGGCAATGTTCCCTGTGGGCTACGGTGATGAATATGTTGAGGAGGAGAGTGTCGTCGAAGAGGAACAGGTTGTGGTAAGGATTTCGTTTCAACTACTCTTGTTACTTAAGCATTTTAGTCTTGGTCTAGGACCTTTTTATTAAGAACGTAGTTTGCTTTGGACAGTATTAAAATGAATTGTCATTTGGATTAATAAGGTGTTTAGTTCTCTTAGAAAACGTAAATCTGATTTTATATTATGATATTAAAGTGCTCTAAATTTATCCTTCACACAGTTACAGTTTTTCATTGATGTTTGTTGAGAGATATTTATCTTTTAATTTTGAAATATTTAACAGGAAGTGATACCACCATCTGAACCGGAACCGGAACCAGAGCCAGATGCGGGACCTGAACCTGATGTATGTTTTAAAAGTTTTGATTATTCTTTGATTTTTTACAAGATGAGCAAATATTATTATATAAAAATTGTTTTTTTTTCAGCATGAAGACGATGACGAAGAGGATCACGGTGACGATTGAAATTATTGATGTAACGAATTTCATTTATTCATTAAAAATGTTACTTGACGTATTTGTACCTATTTTTAATTACGTTAATACTTCATTATGTTTATACTAGTTGTTGCCCGCAACTCTGTCCGCACGGAGTGAACAAAAAAAAATTAGTAGTCTATGTTTTCTTCCAGGCTATGTTCTACATATATGCCAAATTTTTAGTAAAATCCGTGCAGTTGTTCTAGAGATACCTTCTAACAAACATCCATCTAACCAGTGGCATTTATATTATTGGTAAGATTGAGTTCAAGTAGCAATATTGTGTCCAAATTATTGGCATATAAGACGACTTTAAATAAATAAAACAACAAAATAGCTCAAGCAATGATTTTTATTTTGTAAAACACACAACAAATAACAATTATCTCAATTGTTTTTATTTTAAGGAATGGCTTGGGAATGTAAAACTTAAAATTAATATTTAATATAATACTTTTATTTAGTACATTTGTAAACATTTTGAAGCTGATACTGATAACGATACACTTAAATATTAAATAAATAATAAACTATAATATTTTAATTATCAAAGCATCATAATGGTCGTAAAAATCTTAAGGTCTCTCTCTGGTTTAAAAAGTTAATCTCACATAAACGTATTTTCTTAAGCTAAGGATCTGTTTCGCAATGTCTAAGTAAAGTGCTGAAATAACAAACAAACTAATTGACACATAATACTTCGTCTCAGTCTAAAAATAGTTTGTGTTTGACAGCGTATTTAGACACTGGCTGGCGGCCGCAATTCCATCAGCGCGGAATTAAAAAAAAAATTGTAGTCTATGCCTTCTTATGTTATTATATTATGACTATGTTCTACATCAATGTCAAATTTCAGCGGGAACCACGCAGCCGTTCTGGATATACCTTCAAACAAACATCCATCTAAACATTCGCATTTATAATATTAGTAAGATTGTGAAAGACCAACGATTACTTTATTTGACCAATAAGTTCCAAGTAGCTTATTCTTCTTCTGTAAGATGTGAAACGCGAACAATTTTGCTATAAAGTATTGTGTCGGTTAATTTATTTCTTAGTAAGTTATCCAGCACTTTACTTATACATTGTGAAATTTTATATACAAAATAGCATTTTTAATATTATTTAACACCTCGATGAAATGGCGGGAAATCATAGATGGGCAATTTTTTTTCGACCGATAAATCTATTTTTTTAAAGATTGTATGATTTAGCTTTGGTTTTGAATAATACGTTATCAAAAAATTCTCTTGCACTTCTATTTTCCCTTAATTTGATCTATGAAAATACAATAATAGAACTATTTTTATTCTAAGTCCTAATAGAACCATCTTGATAATTCAGTGAGATGTTAAATTATTTTAATAGAATAATACGTATAAAGTTTTATGAGCAAAAGTTGCGATTGAGCTCACAATTACTGAATACATTAAAATATACACTTTATAAACATCGCAATAAGATTAATTTTACAATAATTATGCCAAATCACAAGCAGAGGGCGTAGCACGAAGATTTGCAAGAAAGTATTCGTAATTTCATTTACCGCCGAAAATTTGTATTACATTCATATCGGGCGTTAAGTACTCATGCAAATTTTGCCATTATTTGTCAAAGAAATTACGAAAACGCATATCGCAAATATTCATGATAGACCCTTAGATATAGTGTAATATAAGAGTGTAGAGTGTAAATGTCTCATTCGCACCGAATATACGGAAAACCATAGCATTTAAATAAGTTATTGAATTCATTTACTTATAGTAATTTATACGTTTTTATGTAACTAAACATGAGATCTTTTATTTTTTCTTTTAGTGTATCATGTTACGTATTTGTGTTTGTTAGGCGCTAAGGTAAATTTTGAGGTTAGAAAAATTATAATTTATATTTTTACAAAGGTAATAATAACATACATATATCCGTGTTAAGTTCACTTATATACAACTGTAAGGGTAAATAGTAATTCTATTTATTCAAATCTCTACTAACAGAATGACAGAAAAGCATAACCTAAAATTTTATTTTATTATCGTCCTTATAATGGCAAATCCATGTATTCTGTATCAGAACTCAATGATATTTTACGTGCGATAAAAAGCGAATGCAATAAGGTCCAATTTCCCGTGCACTTGATTTACAATTAATCTACGCCTATCGTTATCTATAAGTGATGTTATTAAATGATAAAATATCAAAAGTTGCAGCTGAAGTAAAACTGGCAATAAATTCACTACAGAATTAAAATAATCAATTCTAGTTTATTAAGACAATAAAACAACATCACAGTGGAAAAGGAACCTAATATTATAGATGACGTGGAGATTATTGTTACTCTGCATTGGGGTATTTCCCTCGGCTTTGTGAACGAGGAAATTTATATGTATGTTTAGGAATGACATGCCTTTCAATATTTTTGTGGACTATAGATTTTAATACCGTTTCCATAACAGCATGCATTATTTACAAAATTTCGATATTTCTCTATAAATTTTGACATTTACACAATGTTTTTTTTTTAATCAACTTGTACAATGCTTGCAATAATCTTTGTTGTTAGGAAAATTAAAAAAAAATGACTACAGATTATCTTATATTATATGTTGTTTTTGCGCGCAAATTAATATTACTTTTGTCGACGTCTCTTAACGATAGGTAAGTAACAAATACAATTTTTTTAGACAACAACCGTTAAAGAATATGTCAAACAATTAATCGTTGCGATGAAAAGATATCAAAAGTTGATTGCAAATATAAAATTATGATAATTTTGTTTTCAATATACTTATTTATGCAATATTTTTATCAATTTTATTGTAAGATTAAGGTTTAATTTAATATACATTTGGGACTTTGTCTTTATTTGACTTATTTTATTACGTTACAAATGTAACACGGACTGAGGTTATCGCTCTTTGTTTCTACACATTCGATAAAACGGTAGAAGCATTAGTACAAGTTGGTTGTTGGATTTATTTTTAGTAATTAATTGAAGATAATATTATTAGAAAGAGAATATCACAGTAGCATTATTATACGTTTTTGTAAAAAAATGGCGACGTCGAAATTTATTTTTAATCATGGAATATACTGTAGCTATGTCGCTGTCTGTACAAAGAATGGTTGAATCGTATGCGGTCGGGGGAGTCGCATACCATACGAGTCCTGCGTTTTTATGTTGCCCTAGTACAATTAATACTTTTTCTCACAATTTACCGTAGCGTCTTAACACCTGTAACGTTGAGCTTACACTGTCGAAACTGCAACATTATTATTTCAATTTTCCAAGATGATTATGTTTTTGTGTGAGTGTTTTGACAATGGAAACCCACGTATTTATACCGATATGTTTGATTCTTTGGCTAGTAAAGTTATGGCAAGCCGTGGAAGTCGAAATCCGTGTATAGTTGTTCCACTCTTTGGTATACCTCGTCACAAGATTGTAGAGTTTGTGGCAGTATGGTCATCGCTTCAGTTAACCTATCCTCGGTACCGAAGATCTGAAAATGTGGGTTTGAATAAAGAACATTTTGCGAGCAAACGAGATCATGTAACTTTATCTCTCTCGCTCACTCAATAGTTTAGCGCTTTGGTCGGTCTTAAACCCTTTTTCTACTTAGCGAGTTGCGTGACTGGCCGTGGAAGGCGCTGCCTTTCTAGTGGAAATGTTACATACTAAAGATCAGTCTTTCCCAAAGTGGGCGATAACACCCCCTTGTGGGTGCTGCAGGCCTCAAGTTGCGGGTTATAGTAAAAGTTTCGTTTAGAATTCACCATTAATATACATATATAGGTCACAATAATTAATTAATTTAATTTGAAGTTATAGTGGTTTTTAAATATGTGAAAATATGAGGGCGTCAAAAAATATTTATTCTCAAAGTGGGCAGTAGACAAAATAAGTTTGGGAACCACTGCTATAGATGGAAAGCAGTCGAACGTAGCTAGTGGAAAAGGGGGCTAATCGACAACGCTGTTAATTATTATCACGATCAATTCTGAACATGGAAACAATGCTATTTGATTAAAGTATTATAAATTCATCTAATTGGAAACAAGAATGTAATTACAAACTTTATCTGACTTATTTTGCGCCCACTGAGCGTTTGGACTTGTGAAAAATAGTATAGATTACTACATTCGTTATTTGAAATCGTATTACGATATTGTTCTTTTCAATTTAAAACAAAGGAGTAAATGAGTTAACAAGGCGTACGGTCTATGTAAATAAAAGTACCAAGATAGAAACAGACGCGCGTTCATTATAAAACAATGCTGTACACTAACACAATAAATTACGAATGTACAATGCAGTGGAAAATGGTTAGCAATGTAAATGATTTTACCTTGATATGGACATTGATACTTTGTATTAAATTTTTATAGACTACTAGCTGTCGCCCGCGTTTCTGTCTATGCGGAATTAAAAAAAGCATATATGTTCTTTCAGACTATGTTCTACATCTATGCTAAATTACAGCTGGATCTGATCAGCCGTTCTGGAGATATCTTCAAACATTTACCCATTCATCCATGTAAACATTGCATTTATAATATTAAGTAATAGTTTTGCAAAACACAGCAGATATTACGAAATAGAAGTGTAATGTGTAATGTGAGTGTAAATGAGTTCAATACTATTTAACTGTGGGTTTCTAAGACCAAAATACCCATTTAAAACATATTGTTAACTCTGTTTTGTTAAAAATAATAATGATATGTTTTACACAGAGATTTTGGTCTCAGGAACCAACTGTTAGAATTATAGTAAAATATGTAAGAAATTCAAAGATATGTGTAAAGTCAACCAACCTGCACTTGGCCAGCGTGGTTGACTATGGCCTAATCACTGTTAACTTAGGGTAGGCTCCGAGCCCCTCGGTGGGGAAGTATAGTGAGCTGATGATGTCACATGTAACTTATTAAATGAATTTAGAAATTATAACTAAATAAGTCACAATCAGTAGAAAATAATTGATACATTAAATTTTATTATCCATATTTTTTTGATATCTGATAAAAAAGCTGTCATTTTAATGATAAAGAAAATTATTGCTTGTTATGTTAATGATATGTATTATAATAATTTTTTTATATCATTACAATGCATTTTCCTTTATATATTTTAAAAAGTAAGACTGAGTAGAATTTAGTTTTTAAAATAAATCAATCATAACCATATTTGCAATATCTATATATATAAAAGAAAGTCGTGTTAGTTACACTATTTATAACTCAAGAATGGTTTTACCGATATGGTTGAAAATTGGTGAGGAGGTAGCTTAGAGCCAGGAGACGCACATATGATACTATTTTTTCTTTTTTTTCGAATTTATGCCTTGAAGAGCTGCTTTTTATTTAACTTATCTATATATTAAGATTTTGTAAATATCCATGTGGAAGGAGTCGCAGGCGAGAGCTAGTTAATTATATATAATAAATTTGTAGCCAGTTATAAATACAACTTTGGTGGGTAAGGAATGGAATTTACTTAGCTGGAGCTGCGGTTATTCTGGCAGGAAATATAATCTACAGTCATAGAAAATTACATAAAAGAAAAAAATGACAAGACAGCAGTACCTTTATGATCTTATGGATCCTTTTAACATCATAATTTTAGCTAGTGAGCATTATAATTTATGTCAACCGTGGTATCTTTGTCAGTTTTTGTATTTAAAAAAAACTAACCTTTTTCAATAAGTCTGGTCTGGTGGGTAGTGCATGCATTGCCAGTGTTGCTGCTTTCCTGATATACCAAGGATGGAATTCAGCCAATGTCTCATTGTATGAACACTGGCATGTTGTACATGTGTTAACTGTATCATCCGAATCACTTAGACGCTTCAGAAATAATCTGATGAAATCTGAAAGTTGATATCTTTTAGTGATAATAATATACAAAGATCTTTGACCACAATTTAATCACAATTACAATAAGCATTTCATAGACTTAACAGAACATAGTTAAAAATGATACATTTTTTCATAAATCAAATTTCTTTGATATGAAAAAAAATATCTGATGGCAGTTTCTTTATTACTAATCTGAGATTTACACATACCTAATCCTCTATGTAATCGTAGCATTGTCCTTGAACCAGAAACAAAACCATTCTTTTCATGCAAGCAAGTCTCTTTTTCGTACTTCATCATTTTCTTGAAGGACTCGTAATAAATAGCATCGTCACCTTCTCTATGTTTTTCCATCACCTTTATTTTGCTCTTTACATCACTACTCACAAAAGAGAACACTGACCCGATCAAGTTTAAGAACCTAAATAAGGGACAAACAATTAAAATACAGAACATATGGATCACAAATAAACACATATTTTCTTACGCTCACTTCACAAGCTCATTGTATCCGTCAATATAAGCCTCTATCACTACATCGTCTTCTTCTTTTAGACTTCTTTGGAAGCTCTGATGAACGTAATGCAAATCTAAGGTATTTTCATTAGACATTTCTTTTAAAATCTACTTTTTTAAATGGTCTAAAATTGGGTTAACACCCTGTCCACAGTCTTTTTACTTTCAAACTGACACGACCATACTGTTCCGTTCCAATTGTGTTTGACATTGACATATGCTGATAGACTGATAACCTGATAACAGTAACAAGTTGTCTCAACGTCATCCAGTAGCAGTAAGTGGATGAAAAGGAACGTCGTAATAATAAAGAACTATAAAAGTAAAGTTTGGTAAAGTTTACTAAATTAAAACTATAAAAATATTTAGGTTTAAAGCTGAGTTCGATTTAAATTAAGAGTTATTGATTAAGATGGGTTAAATTTATGTACAATCAAATTATCAGCGCATGCTTTTCTGAAAAATATGACTTTTCAGCTCAATGTAGACAATGAAGTAGATGTAAAAGTTCATAATATTGATAGGCCTACTTACTACGTTTCATGTATAACATAAAATGCAACAGAATTTTTGCAAAAGAATTGTGTTTAATGATAATTTGCATGGAAAGGAACAAAAGTAAACGTCAAATATCAAACAAATATCAAATGTCAGCGTTAATTTAAGCTATCATCTGTCATCTGTCAATTTCCAGTGTTTGCAAGAAATAGAGGGTGGAAAAGTAATTTTTTTCTCCAAACAATTTTGTTGATAACACCTTCATGTCGTTTGTTTATCGAACAGCTCGCAATTGACGGGAAGTAAAGTGGCACTTATTGCAATAACATAAACGCTGGGTGGATACCACATTCCTCATTGGGTAAAATTTTGCGTTTTATTTTTAGTTGTCTAAGGAAATAGTTTATATGGTTTGGTATGCTTTTTAATAAATATATAATTAATCTCCTACATCAAACATTTTAGATGATAAAAATGGCAACTAATTCGAACTTGGTAAATAATGATGATGACTCGTTCATCATTTTGGGTACATCACCAGGGACAAGTCTGGATCTGAGGTGTAACGGTGTGGAAAACGGTGATGCATTAGACAAGAAGCAGATTGAAGATGCATTGAAGGATATACCCCCTGAAGCATCAATGGCTTTCAAGGCATACTTTCACATTGGTGACACAGTAAGTAAATGTGATTTTTCTGCTATTATTCTAATATTATAAAAGAACAAACAAGTAGGAATATTAGAAAATATGTAGATGCATTGCTGGCCTTTTAGAAAACAGTATAGATGCTTTCTAAAGGACCTTTAATCTGTTCAGTTCAGAAGTACCATTGAGAATGACCTTAAGAGCTATCTATATTGTATGTTATGTACGTAAAAGTAGTAAAAAAATATCAAGGAAGTAATTTATATACTATATGCTTAGGGAATATGTTGCAGGAGTAATATTGTAAAGAAAATTACAGTGATGGTAACTTTCATCAGACCATCCCAGAAAGGTCATAGTAGTACAGTAGTAGACTATATTTCAATAAATTTGACTGCAACTTAAATATTTATATTTATGTAGAAATGAGGTCAAATAGTAACATATTATTGTTCTTATCTATATACAAACAAAATATACATATGATAAGTTTCATGTTGACAAATGACTCATCAAAAATCTCTTTTGTGAATCTATTAAATGTATTTAATCAGCATCACATCATCAGCTCACTATACGTCCCCACCGAGGGGCTCGGAGCCTACCCTAAGTTAAGGGTGATTAAGCCATACTCCACCACCCTGGCCAAGTGCGGGTTGGTTGACTTCACACATATCATTGAATTACTTCTCAGATATGTGCAGGTTGCATAACGATGTTTTCCTTCACCGTAAGAACGTAATCAGCATATACTCTTAGTATTTTTATATTTTTATTGCTTTTAACCATCCATGTATGAAAAAAAATTACAACATATTTTAATCCTTTATATTCTATTTGAGAAATTTAATATTTTATGTATTTCAACTACCATTAAATTAGATTAAATGTTAATTATGAATGAATGATTTATAAATCAATCCATTGCTAAATCCATAGTGAGAACTAACCAAAAAGATCTATTGTGTATATTGTAAACTGATATATAAACACGGCGGCCCGTCGCTCAGCGTGAGCGTCGGGCCGCGTCCGCGAAATAATTCCCGCACCACTCATCCTGATGAAGGGCCCCCGATGGGCTCGAACTAGTCGGTGCCGCCACCGGACGAATATACGTGAGTGTTTAGCCGTGTTTATATATCAGTTTAGTATAATGTCTCATGAAAGTTTGAATAATTTAATGTGTATATTGTCTTTTTGTTTGCATTTCAATAACTGACAATCTGATAGTGATTTCAGATTAGAACAGCTGTGATTTTACACGTCCAAGGGACTTTACCGTATAACGGTAATTTCCTTCGTGCAGAACAATTTGTGTTCTATGTAAAGGGTATATGGACTTGTTTGCATTAACCTTTATGGACACGGGATGACTATATTTACTTATTTTACACAATTTCAGTGTAGTAAAGTTCTTGGGTAAAAGAGGTTTTTCATAAAGACATTGTACAAAATAGACTCGGTTATTTGTAAGGCCCTTCGTACATAAGGCTACCTAAATCTTCGATACTATGACATGACATGTAAATTCGCGTCGACGATTCAACTATACGAATCGCGCTCAACGCCATACATACGATACCAGAATAGAGAAATAGTATCGAAGATTTACGTAGTCTGTTGTCCGAAGGGTCTCTGAATATTGTTGTATGTAACAATTACTATATAAGAAATATTTACCATTGTCAACTTCAAAGAAATGCAGTTGATGACGTGGTTATTTGTTACTGTCGCTGTTAGTTTTTAAGTGTAGGTATTAAAGCGGTAAGTTCCCGTGGTTACACTAAATATAGGGTTATCAACGCCACCCTTTTCAAAAAAAATTATTTCTGAAAAAATAGTTCGATTTTTTTAAGTTAGAGTATAATTAATAGTAAAGTTATTAGTTCTAGTGTTTAATATATTTGATTTAACCGTGTATTCGCACTGTAGAAACAAAAGCTGAGAAACATATTTTATGAGAATATTTTGATGTAATAAAGTGTTTAAATCATTTATCTCTTGCATAAAATCGCGAAAAACAAATTGAATCAAGTTGACAAATATGATGATAAAATGATTAATTTATTTCATTGTTGACACAATCTTGACATTGAAAATGAAATTTATTGCCTTATAACTAAAGTTTATTATTCAATACCTTATAAATAACATTTAGCTACTCGAGATTCGACCGTAAAATAATTGTTAATACAAACAGAGCTTTAACAACTTTTGTTTTGTTTATTTTTAAACGAAGGACAAGTTTGCTTTTTTACTTTCTACTATTACGTTTGTTATGACATAATGTAACAAACATATAATAATATGAAAAAAAATAACATTGTCGGTTTGTTGGTAAAGAAATGTGAGGTGACAACCCTATATATTCCACAGTAGTAGTCGTTTCCTAGTGTAGTAATTCCTTTGCCACCGTTTACTTCTAAAAGTGCACATCTTTCAAATACGATACTTGCGATTGGCTAAATGTGCAGTGCGAACAGTAAACAAATTCTATTAATTGTTTTACTACAGCCCTCTCCAGGCAGTATGATGATTGCGAGCACAATAGTAACAGAAGACAGGAGTACAGAGGAGCTGCAGAAGCGGTTCGGTGAACTCCTGGACGAGAACCTGGTACTCAAAGAGACCCTGAAACAGAACAACGAGTCTCTGAAGGAACAGCTGGACTTAATATCCTCTTGTCAAGACGACATGTTAAACACACATAAGATACATAGAGAAAAGTTTGATGAAACTAAGAATTTAGTGAAAAAGGTAAGTGTAATAACATTCAAACTTTATAACGACTCGTGGCCTGCAAGCGCATGTCTGAAAGCTTGTAGCGTTTAAATTAGGTTCCGCGTAGCATCCCGAGCTATATTCCGAGCCGACATAAACTTTGGATGGCGCTATACTATTTTTAATGTGTTAAAGTTGTCTTTTTAACACTGTATTACAATTCTATCTAGGTGAACCTAAATGCTAGAACAATTTTAGTATTTTCCTTTATAGTTATTGGTTAAATATCGCTTACGTCTTAGAGCAACGAATAGGTTGACTTTATTGCAGTTACGTGAAGAAAACAAGATGTTGAAAGCGGACGCCATGCGGCTGTCGGGAAGCACGGGGGGCGGGGGGTCACAGCCGCGGTCCTTGCGGTCAGAGGGCAGGTCGGGGGCGTCATCGGGCGTGGAGTTCGTGACGTCACCTGATGACGACACAATCGATAAGCTGACAGCGCAACTCGAACTTGTCGAGAAGCAGAGGCGACAGGTGAGATTTTATTAATTTTTGTCTTGTGTCAATGTCCAATCGGATTGTTTATGTAATACTAGCTGTAGCCCGCGAATCCGTCGCGCGAAATAAAAATAATTAGTAGCCTATGTATTTCAGACTATGTCCTAGACCTTTACCAAATTTCAGCGAGATCCATGCAGGTGTTCTGGAGATATCTTCAAACAAACATCCAATCATCCAAACAGGCGCATTTATAAAATTAGTTAGATTGTTATCTCTTTTTATTCGCAGTGAGTGATAAGGATGACGATATGTTTTAGGAGCATTTTGTATAATTAAATTACTTTAGGTATGAATATTTTGCAGGTTATTGTAGAAAATGAAAAATTGACCTGGCAAAAGGAATCCTTAGAGCACATAGTTGACGCTACATCCAAAGAAAGAGACGAAATTAAAGAGAAATTAAAAAATATTGAGGTACGTAACATAACCTCTTCTTGAGACTTTTTTTTTTATTTTGATCATCAAGTTTATTTTATTAATGATTAAATGTTGTTTACATTTATATTAATTATTAAAATGTATCAAGTAAAATGCAATTACAGTTTACGGTTTTTCGTTGATAATAAAAACGAGTTTGACAACTTGAGCGGGAAATAAAATAAATACAAGTTTTTAATTACGTACTTTCATTACCTTGGTGATGTTCGATATTTGAAAAAATAAATTGAATTTTTAACGACGCGTGTTAAATTAAAAAAAAAATGCAAAAGTAAACGGTCAATTTATAACTCGGTAGCCTTTGCCCACAACTAGATGGTGTAGAATTAAAAAAAAATAGTAACCTATGTGTTCCAAACTATGTTCTATATGAATGCCAAATTTCAATGAGTTGTTGATCCGTTGAGACTTTCTGGAGATACCTTCTAACAAACATCCATACATCTGAACATTCGTATTTATATTAGTAATTTTCTTACTAGAATCGTTAGAAAAAAATAATAAAAAAAATATGTTAAAGTTGAAAATAACGCCATCTAGATTAATATTTGAGTAACTAATGTTTTTCCAGTTACAATTGTCTACAACAGAGAGCGATCATAGTGAAGAAATAAAAAAATTACATTTCATTATACAAGATTTGGAGAGACAACTCAAGTCTGTTACTGAAGTAAGTATTCTTCATACTAGCCGTTGCCCGTGACTCCGTATGCATGGAATTAAAAAAAAAACTAAATTAGTAGCCTATATGTTCTTTCGTACTAAGTTGTACATCTATGCCAAATTTCAGCATAATTTAACAAGTTTTAGACATACCTTTTAACATCCATCTAAACTTTCGCATTTATAATATAAGTAAGGTAGAAAAGTTTTTGAGATTAATTTTTTATGTTAAGGCCAAAGCGTCTTCAGACGACATCTCGGCCCGGGATAAAATGATACAACAATTGGAAGGTAAAATCTCCAGCCTACAGAACGAATTAAAAGTTGCACAGATTAAGATTTTAGATCTAGAAAATATTAAGGTAAGTTTTGTTACACACTAGCGCCATTTATACTATATATATCATTTATATTATAACTCAATTAGAGGAGATGCCTTCAAACAAACAAACAAACAAACACAAACACAAACACAAACACAACCACAAGCACAAACCCAAACCATCCATCCATCCATCCATGTTTGATTCTTGTTAAAATTTTAATTTATTATTCTTAGTAAATTTATAACAAACAATATAGTTAACGTCATTCCTTAGTTTCTGTGTTCGCTATATACAGACAAACATACTAATACTTTGTTTATATATAGTTAGAATTTACACAACACAAGTCGGCAGTATCGGAGACAGTCAGAATGTACAAGGAACAGATACAGGAACTTTCCACCAGACTGAAAGAAGCACAGACTACCGTAAGTTCTATTTTTTGACCAAGCATTATAGTAAACTAAAAAAAACTACTATATGTCAAACCTTAAACAAGAGAAACGCGGTATTTTTTGCTTGTTAAAGTTTCTCTTTCATCCAGGTTCGACTGTATTTAGAAATTACTATTGGTCTAGTTAAAAATAAAAATAATAATTAATAAAGGCAATAATAAAAGAGGTTCTCATTCATAAGAAAAAAAAAATTGTCTATGGTTCTATATTAAAAAGTATGTTACTCTATGGTGTTCCAGATGTTCCAGCCAGTGCGGCTGTCAGTCAGCTCCGAGTCTGACAGTTTGTCAGAGTTCGCGTCCTTCACCACCAATGTGAAGTTGTATGATAGAACTCTGAAGCATTTAGCCGACTTCGTGAACGCGCTCACTACAGGGTGAGTAATCTATACATATTAATAAAATTGGAATGTCTGTATGTAATTTATAGAAAAAAATTGTAAACATGATGTATTTGTTGCTAACGAAAAACTATTTTTATAAATTTTTTGTCTGTATGTCTGTCTGCAAGGCTCCGTTTCGTTCCGGGTAATCTTTGGAACAGCTAGACCGATTTTGACAGGAAGATAGTGATGGACGTGTGCATGTTATGGGCTATTTTTTTAATTTCTGCGGTGACGAAGTCGCGGGCGACCGCTAGTTGTTTTTTTTTTGGATATTACATAGACACACCACTTTAATATATAAGCCATTGTGACGTCAGTTGCTTCGTGAAAATAGGGTCTAAACATTTAACTTCCTGCTTAGGTTGTCGGATAGTCTAGTGCAGACTTTAGGCACAGTGGCGAGTCTGTACGACTACAAGCTAGAGCGAGCCTCCGTCGACAGGTTCAAGTCCGGCCTCGCCGAGGTGAAGCAGCAACTGGAGAGACAACATAGTTACACCCTTAATAATATGTAAGTGAAATCAGCGAAAAAAGTCTTATTCGATTTTTATAATCCGCATGAAATTCCATTCATTTTGTTGCATAGAAAAACTTTATTTTGTTTTTTATATTGCGTGAAACTCTCAATTGAAAATGTCTAAATTCAAATGTCAACGAAGACCTTCGCCATTGGCTGAGAATTACCGTTACCATGGCAACCATCCAACTGCAATTGGCTTGTAATTTTTGTCCCTCTCTCGCATAACTTATTTTGCAATTTACTAATATACTAAGTTAAATGGCTTGAAAATATATAGCCTATAATGTGTAGTAATTATAGGGCTTTTTATTACAAAAAGAAATATTAAAAAATAAGCTGTGATTGCTACGATAATGTAGGATTATAAAGCAATGTGTTTTAACGCCATATTACTTTAGTATATATGTTTGAAAACTGTATGATAATGTTTGTAGAGGCAAACTGCGCGGTATGCTGTCAATCTTCGAAGGCATATTTAAGGATTACAACGAGCTCTTAAAGAAGACGCTCACCAAGACTGAAAACGTGAGTATACTTTGTTACGTTCCAGTATTCTTTATCTTAGACTATCCGCGACTCCGCGATTAAGGAAATCTTAATAACTAGCCTATGTGTTTATCCAGACTATGTTTTATATCTTGTCAAATTTCACTATGACTCGTTAAGCCATTTTGGAGATACATAGTAACTAATCTATTCATACATTCGCATTTATAATATTAGTAATACATTTACAAGATTTTGTAGTGTTTTTAAATATTATGTACGGATTAAAAGAGAGGCAAATAATGACTCTTGTTTTCTGTATTTTATGATTTTTTAAGCGAATTTGTTACATCGAACTGATTTTGTACAATGCCTTTTTTTACATCGCGCGTTTTTTAGTTGTCTTCAAAACGTGTATGTGTACGATGAGCGAGAACCTTTATATTTATGATCCAGCAAAGTGCCAGTACGAATAGCGCTGGCAGCAGCAGCGGCAGTGTGGAGGCTCTGACGTCAGCGCTGGTGGCGCGCGGGCGCGAGCTGCAGCAGCTGCAGACTGAGGTGCAGCAGCTGCGGGCGCGACACGACGACGCGGAGCTGCTGCGCGCGCAGCTGCTGCAGTACAAGTGAGCATCTACATGTATAAATGTTTTCAAATATGTTTGCGGCTCTCTGTACGAGTCGACATGACCTTGAACCGCCAATATATTTGAAAAGAATAATACACTGACAGTTGGTTTCTTAGACTAGAATCTCAGTAGAAGACATATCGTCATCCTTGTCATTATCTTTGACAAAATAGAGATAGTTATACTAAATCGATACTAAGGTACTTTACTACCATTAAAGGATCCTGAGTGTGGCAGTCTTTTTGTGGCCTTCTTAGTCTTTCAATGGCTACGTACATCTTTCGCAGGAGTGACTTCGAGGCGGAGAGAGAAGCCCGTGCAAAGATGGCGAGCGAAAAGGACGATGTTGTGACGGACTTCCGGACCTCACAGAAACGCAACCAAGAATTGGAGAAGCAGGTATGCTGGCAACCCTTTGACTGACCTTTATACACAGACAGGTTATAAACCGTGGTATTATGTGCCTATTTGATTTCCGCCATTTTGGTGTTGCGGTTGGTAACGTCGGTCAGGAATCGAACTAAGATATAGAATTAACTGTAACTATGTAACGTCAAATGGCGCGTTTAAGTTTAAACGTAGCAGATGTCACTTCCAAGCAATGACTTATCCATGTATAGAGACTAGCTGTCGCCCGCGATTCCGTCCGCGTGTTTGTCTAAAAAAAAAATTAGGAGTGGACTATCCTTAACATTTAGGGGGATGAAAAATAGATGTTGGCCGATTCTAAGACCTATTCAATATGCTCACAAAATTTCATGAGAATCGGTCAAGCCGTTTCGGAGGAGTATGGGAAAATTGTGACACGAGAATTTTATATGTAAGATGAGTGGCTAGGTACCTCATTAATATTTAGTTTATTCTATTTTCTTATTAGTATAATAGTTTTCAAATATATTTCTGGCTCAGAACGTCAAACGAGTCGCTGTACATAACATAATTAGGGATAAGGAGGCGTAAGTTTAGCGTAGCAGGTGACCTTGAACCGTCAAAAAGATTGAAACGGGCTACTATTAGTAATTTTTTAACAGCTAGACGAAGTTCGTAAGCTGAGTCCAGGTATCTTCCGCACTGTGACCAGCAAGAAGACCACTCCGAGCTCCAGCCCCACCGCAGCCGGCACGACCAGGACCACTACTGGCAATGTGGTGAGTGTTGAATTACTACATTTGTTGCATAATTTAGTGAGTTTTATTACTCGTCGTCTTTTTTTATTTATATCACTTGGTGAAAAGGTTAAAAAAGTTTTATTTTTTATTTATTTTATATTCTGATCTTATGTAAAATTTATTTTATAATTTTTTTTAAGTGTCCTCCGAATACGTTTATACAACGTATGCGTTTAGTGTTTCAAAATTCTGTTATAATTTTGCCAACATTGTTATAAATATTATGAAAACATTAGATATAAATAAAATTCAAACAAAGGTTCGCAAAAAGAAGAAGCTGTCAACGGAGACGGGGGCGGGGGCGGAAGCGGGGGCGGTATCGGGGGCGGGGGCGAGCAACGGGGCGGAGACTCCGGTCACTCCGCCCCCGCAGCGGTACACGTGCCCCGTCTGCGATCAGACATTCAAGACTCTTATATTCCTGCAGCAACATGTCGACTCTTGTTTGCTTTGAAGCTCTGACACACTTATAATCGTACTAAGGGCGATCCTTAGTGTAGATTTTTCATGCTAGGGATTGATTAAAGAACGAATTTGCTTGACCGATTAAAAACTTTGAATGTGGTAGTTAAATGCATTTTTCACTGACGATTGCTATTTTTTTATTATTGCATTTACTTATATAATATTCACTTATATTTGTTTTTTTACATAGCTTTTATTAATTGTTTTGTTTATTGATACAAGTTTATTTGTACAGTTGTGAATAATAATAATAATAATGATTTATTTAAACCAAAGTACACATAAATATATACATAAGTTGTTGGAGCATCCTTTTAAGTATATAATACCTGTGACAGAATGCTCCGTTCTTCCGTACCATACATTTTTATTTTTATTTTTACAATACGATATACCTTACAAATAAACAAAAAGAAATGACAAGCAATTTGGGTAGTTAGAAAGAGAACACCATTAATTGAAACGTGTTCTCTTTCTAACTACCCAAATTGCTTGTCATTTCTTTTCAGTGAATAGTTCAGTGAATATAAAATAAAATAGATTTTGTATTCCATACTAATATTATAAAGAGGGAAGTTTTGTATCTTTGTATGTAACTAATAAACTCAAAAACTACTGAACTCAATAAAACTACTGATTTCAATAATTATTTTCCATTAGAAAGTTACATTATCGCTGAGTAACATGGACTATGTTTCTAGATTTTTTTATTAAAATCTAGTCATGTAATCTTAATAATTTGTGTTTAAAAACGATAGTCTTAACATAATTTGTTTTTAAAACTACAAAAAGGAGGAAGTTTTTAATTCGTCTGTATGTTTTTTTTGTCTTAAAAATTATTTATGTTTCGAATTTTGATTTATAATATGGAGTATTTATGTGTTTTTGAATTATTTATTTCTTGTTATATATTTAGTTTTATCATTTTAATTACAAATTTAACTTATTTCTTTTATAAAATAGGTGTTTTTAATGTTATTAAAATTGTTTAAGAAATATTGTTATTTTATATTCGTTAGAAAACTACCCATGAAAGAAAATATTAGGTGAGGTACTACATAAAATTAGTATGTTTTTGTTGTTGGTTTTTTTTTATGTGTACCAATAGCTACTAAATATATAACAAAATTAGAGTATATAAGTAAATAAGTTAGGCAAATATTAAATTTAACAGTTACTATATTTGAAAAAAAAAACTTCGTTCGTAAGAAATGTATGTACTTTATGATTTGTGTGCATGACTGTACAAACAAGGAATATTTAATTTTGTATTTTGTTAATACGTACTCTTGCATGTCAAGTTTTTTTTTAATTTATACTCGTGTGTGATTGGGAATAATAATTGTAATACACATATCGCATGATTATTAAAAAAAAATGAGTTTTGTGACCTTTTTTTATATTTAAAATATTTAACATGCCAGTGTGTCTTCAACTTAACCCGGAAACAGCCGAAATCGTACGAAAATAGTATTGTCTCTTTCACTCTTTTAAAAGATATAGAGATAACGATATTTTTGATAGGGCTGTTTCGATGATATGAACCCAAGAGCGTTGTGTTGTGTGACTAACTTTAGATATTGTGTTTTTGTTTTTTCTTATATTTTTTCATTATTTAATTCCAGATGTACACCTGCCCTAAGTGCATGACGTTTTCAAGCGATCAGTATAAAGTTATGGAGGATCATTTCGACTTCTGTTTAGACGACTTCTAACTCAAGTAAGTAGTACAAAAACGATCATTCGTTAATTACTCAGTAAAGACCCTTAGTGCAGATTTAGAATGAAATCTACATTAAGTGTTTCCACTAAATAACAGTATGGAAGCAAAAAAAAAGATATATCATCATCAGCTCACTATACGTCACCAGTGAGGGGCTCGGAGCCTACCCTAAGTTAGTGGTGACTAGGCCATAGTCAACCACGCTAGCCCAGTACAGGTTGACTTCACACATATCTTTGAATTTCTTCACCGACAGCACGTTAGGATTTCAAATATAATTAAATCAAATAATGTCTAATTTTAAATAAAATTTTCAGATTAGTATAACGCTGGTGCCATCATTTTAAAAGATTAAATTACGATCATCTTTTTATAAGCAATCGTCTCCTTTTAGTCAAGATTAGTTACCCATTACGTACTTTCCTAAACAAATTTGTATGTAGCAATATTTTTCTACATAATAAATCTATTATTAGGAATATATGAAATTTATATATGTACAGTACTAGATAATAAATTTATACAGGTCATAACCCAAATATATAAATATAAAAGCTATTGTAAATTCTTGGTTGCAGTTAACTATTTGTATTTTTATACAAGAAAAATATTTTATTAACAAGCTCATAAACAATCGAAAATTCATAGATTACTTATTTCCGTCCGGTCTGCAACAAATAGTCTTTGAATTTTTTCATCTTTGACCTTTTATTTTCCCGCGCAAATATCCGAGCTGTCTGATTAATTTTTAATACAAAACTGTGTTGCAAGTTGTCTAACATAAATGCATTAATCTTACATGATTCTTTTATCGGCATATTTCATATAAGATATGAATTAAAAAAGTTTTTTGATCAATAAATTCTCGTGCCATGTGATATCTTTAATATAGTTCTATGCATAGACTTATATCTCGAGATGGAGCGTTTGGAGCATAAAAGTGATACGAATTCGGAGGCCCTGCGGGGTAGACAACATGCATTCGCTCCGACGCGATTCCATATCGAACTTCAAAACTATGTAAGACCGAATATAACTTTCGATAATTCACGTGACTGTCGCGCGTCTTTTTTATACATTTTTGAAGTTCGCTATGGAATGTCTTAGGAAATGCACTTTGTCTAGCCCCACTGAGAGGCCTTTTTGTGGTAAATTTCCCCAGTGTTGTCCTCTACAATACAAAATATGTATAAAAAATAGAGTGTAAAAATTGGTCGTGAAATTTTTTAAAACAGTAATTAATAATTTTACAACATATTATATTATGATAAGTATGTTTTAACAATAATGAACATTTTAACAAATATAGTATATTTTCCTCTTAATTTTTTGTACTTTTTATATTACATTTTCCCGAATTCGGGAAAATTTTCATTATACTGGTAAACATTTGCGACACTAATGACATTTCGAAAATCGTCACATTTTCAAACGTCAAAGTTGTATGAAACGTTCCATCTAGAGGTCATATATCTATGTTTCTATATATAAAACATTTCATTAGAATAGATTATAAATAAAAATGTTATTCCACGAAATGTATATAAAATTATGTCATGTGATTTGTATTTTAGCGTTGGCCATAGATTTGGAGACGTTAAGCCATTGTTATACCTGTTTACCCTATTTAGATTGGGTTCGTGATACATTTTCATATGAGATTGAAAGTATACGATTATCGAGTGCTTGAAAAAGACTGGTTTGGTTATGTTTTTAATATTAGTTTGACGTATTTCTCAATAGTGAAATAAAATTTTGATTTTTTTTGACAGTGCATTATTTAATGTACTATAATTTTTATAATCTATATATATCTATAATTGTGTCGATGGATTTTACATTATTTGGGGGTTTATTGGAAGTTAAATTTAAAATATATCTGTTAAGACATTCCTGCCCTAATAAGCAATGTCATTCTGTCTGTTACCACGCACACCAATTTTATTAAATGTCTCTCCAATTTGTAACATAAGAATGTTAGAAATTTAACGAATAAAAGTATGTTTTACGACACTTGTGTTTTATTTCAAACTTGCATCAAATATTCCAGAATACAAGAAAAATTTGACAGCTGTCAAAATTTTATCATAGATTCCACTTTATGACATGTAAGTCTGAATTACGAAAAGTTTCATCTTGTACAAAAAGGAAAAGTAAATGGTGAAAATTATTAGCCTACATTTCATATAACTCTACTGTAAGTACGTAGTAAGTGTACATAATCTTGCATCTAAAATATATAAATTTATTTATTTACATCCTTATTTCTACGAATACATAGTCTGAATTGGACCTAAGATTTTGAGGTTATTTTTTCATCTAAGAATTTGTTACGTAATTCTTCGATGGATTCATCCGGTATATATGTAAACTACATATTAGCTTCGTACGTCACTTGTGATTATTATTATGTAAACTCAGACACGTATTCAAATACACGTAACAAGTATACGTAGAAGATTATTAATTATTAAACTGATACTTCTACTTTGCATCTGTTTATGTATCACATTTAAAAGTATTTGAATTTATCATAATAATAGAGTACGTAACATAATAATGTTGCCGTAAACACGTCTATATCGTGCACAGTTTATGACAATTCAAATGTTTATAACCCACTCTACTAAATACATTTTACAAGTATGGAAATTTATTTCTTTTTCATATTTTCAAATTAATCCAAATAGCAATGCATATTTAACATTATACTTGCATTGTGTGTCTGATCTATTTTTTATGATTAATTTAGTTTTTATTTGAAAACTGGCAACCCATAAATGACCTCTAAATATTAGGCTAGCTATCTTTTGCAGCTTGTATGCGTTCTTGAAATATTCTAATTATTATGTTGGATTTTTGGGATATAAGGATAATTAGTAATAAACAGTAATCATTTTCAAAATGTAATATATTTCGTGGAACCCGTAGCGTTTCTTAGCTGTTTTATATAAAATTTATACAAATAGAATAATATTTCACTAATTCAATATTTTTTTATCATTTTTTTTATACAATATCTTCACAGGTCCTATAAATTGTTATAACAAGTCTAAATATATTAGTTAAATTCGTTAAAACTAGTTTCTTGGGTCAATTATTGGCACCATTTTTAATTTATGGCAGATGTGTGAGTAGGCTCATTACGATTTGTCATAAAAAAAACGAATTTTTCATTTTATAATCTGTTGTAACACATGTAAGGTTAAGAAACGCTAAAAGAAATCTATAAATAGCTGAGATTCGAACACAGAGAAGAGTTTTGGCGAAATTAATATACAGCAAAGTAAGTATAAACCGCAACTTACAGAATATATTAGAAATATGCGAACGAGGAAAGATTAAACAAATTTTTTTTACGTAATCACTGGTACTACGGTCGCATGCAATACAGGTTTATTTCTTTCATAATAAATAAACCGTTAAAAGTAACAAAATAATAAATAGTTCGAAAGTATACAAAAAAATAAATCTTTATAAATACTTAGAAACTAATTAAATCATATAATATATCGCTTAAAACTGAACTTCGCAGATACAACCAAAACTAACCGAAGCAAAGGTTATACCAGAGACAATTTTTTTCTATAGTGTTGCCAGTTACTGACAACACTTACCAAAAAGGTTGTTAACATTTGGATGAGTCAAGTATGTCCTTTGCTTCGTTGATGTAACGCGAAGGTTACCAATATGGCTCAAGTAAATATAAGCATATGTGATGCATTAAATACAAAATGTGCAATTAAAACTAAATATCATTAAAATAAAAAAAAATTAATAGAACATGTCACACAACAAATTCAACAGGTCATATTTGAGTAATATTTCAACTTTGTTTTTATTTGTTGTAAAAAAAGTAAATCGAACAGAATAGAAAAAAATCGATTTTTTATCCAAAAAAGATGACATTGTTGAATTATATGTGGACCCGTTGATACATTTTGTTCGATCGATTTATATATTTACATGTCTACAAACACTAAATCATAATATAATACATAATATAATACCGTCAGTAATATAAGGCAATGTTAGTCAAAGAAACCAAAATATAAAAGTTAAAAGCGTTTTTAAATACTGTGCTTGGAATGCGTCGCAATGTAATTTAAAAGACTTCAGTCGGAAAGTATTGTTTTTTTAGTTCTTTTACCAAAGACAGATCGGATGAGATGGCCAGCATCGAACCGGGATTGTCTGATCCAGATTTATGTGAAAATTTAAAAAAGCTAGGAGGTGTAAAAAAAGAAATGTTTAACGTACTTTACACATCTGTAGCTCGATAGAAGCCAACAACATCGACTAACACAAAAATTTGCATTTTTTTTCCGTCTAAACTATTAAATACACAAAATATCCTTAAAATTGTATACACATTATCTAACACAAATTATGATAATATTACAATTAGTTGCAAACATAAATAAATTTTATGTCGCGGTAAAGACTAGAATACGTTGAGGATAGAAAGCAGACGTCGGTGCGGAGGAAGACGACAGTCGTTTCTGCTTTTTGTTGGCGAAGCGGTGGAGTCACGGTGACTGATGCGATGGTCATAGTTTACTCTGCGACGGTGGTGTTTCGACTCGGTCGGGTACATGTTTGTCATATGTCGCAAGGTGTCCGGCGAGCTAGGGGTAACTTAGCGTTTGCCGAGATAGTCGACCAGTTGTTCAATTTCCTCCTTTTCGTCCGTGAGTAGCAGAGTCTCCACACAACCATCGAAGTATTTTGACTGAAAACATTCCTGCCTGAAAACGTAAAACGCACATGTTAGCCCTGTATCTTAAACTCTTTATACTAAACCATAGAAAGTACAGATTAATGAAGAAAAAAGCTCGTTTAGTTTTTGGAAAAAGATTGTGTTATTTACAGTAGCAAGCTGTCATTCCAGTGCGATAAATAAAGTGATACAAATAAAGAGGTGGACGCTAGTACAAGTAGCATCGTTAAATAATCATTTTCTGGACAAAAGAACAGGAAATTCCTAAATATAAATGATAACATTATCGTAAGCGAGGGCAAACAAATTGTTTGTCTTGAGAAAAAATCGTCCAGTATAGATTTAGATGTATTTATTCTTTCATGTTTATTATCATTAAAAAGTCTCATTTAAACGTTTATGTGAGCGACAACGAACCAAACTCTTAAAAGATAATGAAGAAACTAATTACTTAGTTTCATATTTTAAACTGTTATGTGCCAATTGTAGCTACATTGTTGTCGGTAATTTGCAAATCTAATACATCAATAAAAGAAGCGGTTCCAGATTAAATAAAAAATCCTGGCTGATTATAAAATTCAAAATTAACATATTTTTCAAGATACATTAAGAAAGCCCCAAACAAAATTTCTACATAATTGTTCTTCTCTGGGTCATGTTGACGTTTATTTTCCTTTTATAAACTTGACCGCATGTGGTATGCATGACTTCGCATCTGAAGAATCTTACCAGCCTATTTGCGTCAGCGATTAAACAAATTAAATACTTGCAATATAACTATGAACTATGTACAAAGTTTTCTAACTTTGCTCTCTCTTTTAGCCAACTTACCTGACCCTCTATTTAAATGTCGTAAGTATGCCGAATACCTTTGCTTCTAGCAATATTTTATAGCTTTAATTCATGCAATTAATATTTTTCTTATCAATTTTACGTGTGCGATTAGTTATAAAGGCTCGTGCTGTGTGAGAAAGAAGATTTAAAGTTATTGTACAAGCACCCAAAAGCTTTTAGTTGTTCCCCAAAAATAAAAGAACTAAGGTTTAGTGAAAAAAAAAGACGATTGGAAAGGCGTCGATTGCAATAGTAATTATCTGTCACGTTCAAGTTCCCATATGCGTATCAATACAAGTTTTCACGTGCAAACCAGATTCTATAATACGGAACTAGATTATTCCTAGATTGTATTCTATTTATTTTTACTTTTTGCACTATTAACATGAGTTATTCTAAGAACACGGTAATCGTTTACTTAGAAGGAACACAGAAATATGACGAAATGTAGTAAAGTTCTGTTAATGTCATTAAATATATGTCATAAATGATGACTAAAGAGACGAATATTGACTGTATGAAAATACTTAAACAAAAGTTATCTTGACAACTTTATATTTATTTTAATTATTACAATTGTGCCATGCTTACTGCATAGGGAACTTTAGACAATTATTATTGCGCCATAACCGAGAAAGGATAGAGAGGTAAGGAAGGTCTTAAAAAACTCTATGGTACCTAAATCTTTGGATCGGCCCCGTGTAACTTTTTAATGTACTCCTTGAAGAGTTCGAGCTGGTCAGTTTCTTGCAGTACTTCAACGCAGCCCTTGAAGTAATCTGTCGTGAAACAGTCTTTCCTGTGCCCCAACGAAACATACACAAGTTTAACAAATGAACATCAAAACAGCGCTAATTTTCATCGAGATCGCCTCATCTGCGATATGTTGGCAACATTAAATTAAAGCGATAGTAGAATCTGAGTAACTTTACATGGTAACATCGAAGTTGTCATCTGTCAGTACTGTAAACGACATTTATTGACACTGACAATTTCACGCGAATAATTAAGTGTTGCCAGCATTGAAAATTTGCGATTCAAAAAAATAAAACAAAAATTAAAATAAAAACAACACAATATCTAATTAATATTGCATAAGATAGATGTATACCTGCAGAGATTGTAGAGAGAGGGCTCCCGGAAGAGGTTGTAGCAGTCGTCGCAGATGCGGTCGAGGCGGGCAAAGATGGAGGCGTCGTAGATGCCCTTGCACTGCAACTTGAAGAAGGAGCGACGCGCCACGTGGTGCGCGGGGGCGGGCGACGCGGCCGCGCCGGGCGCCAGCGCGCAGACTGCTGCCAACGCCACCACCACTGAGCTTAGATGCATCTGCAACAATAACAACATTCTTACAATGCCTTCCGTAAATGTCTTTTTAATATTACCAACTTACAAATAATTCTGCTCGTAAATAAAATTAGCCTAATTAGGTTAAGGGCACGGAAGTCAAATGATGTAGTCGAAGGTTTGAAACACAATTCATATATAGCCGTAAACCAAATCTTAGCGCAAGCCTACAACTTAGAATGGTAACAATAAATATTAATAAATTACCAAAAATCTGAAATTTAAAAAAATCATTTAAAACGCTACAACAAAGGTTTGACCCTCCATAGCATAATCTAAGATTACGTCTGTTGTACTATCGGTTAAGTATCATCAATGAGTTGCAAGTGTACTCCATGTTTCGTAAGCCCAGTAAACTCGAAATGACCTCTAAGATGAAACAAAGTGTTTGCTGATTGCAGTCAGAAATAGACGGCTTGCTGTTTGCTGATACACAGCCTATGTACATAAATTTACTCTTACTAATCCTGCTAATATTATTTTATAGGAGGTTATATATATGTATACTAAACAATTAATCCCTTAAAAATGTACTTTTAGATTAAAAGTAAAAAAGTATTCAACTCGTTCTTTGTGACATAAATTTTATAAACCTCATTACTTCAGATGAAAATAAATTCACTCATCGCAGAGAGAGTTGTTGAACTCTTTGTTCCCGCGCCGAAGATAACCGATGATTCGTAAACGACTTTCGAGAAAAAGAGCCTGTTTATAGCGATGATTTTAGATATAAAAGATAATCAATATCGAAATCGAGTTAAATCGAAGAATTTCACAAAATCGTTTTACAAAATTACAATCTGTGAGTGGATAAATCGATTGAGTATCGTTGTGAACGGGAGTGTCGCAAGCGATGCGTAATCGTCGGCGGGCAGCCGGCGCGGCGGCGGCGCGGGGAAGACGGTGCGCCGGCACGGGAAGACAGCGTAATTATTGGCCTACACTTATAAATCATGCGAGCGCTGGCATTACCTAGTTCAGACCACACGCCGTCTGCCACTTAGCGGTGTCTACCATCTTTAACAAGAAGTAAAGCTTTTGACAACCGGCCCCGGTAACAGACTAAAGTTATCTTAATTTATCTAATTAACGATTTAATTCATCACGACGTTGCTGTATGCTTAGTGATACGAAAACTTATACGAATCGCGGACAGAAAACGTCATTCGCGATGGAATATTAATTGAATTATTCATTTTAAACTTTCGCAAGTCGATTTTTTAATATTAAATTTTATTTCTTAAGTTGTAGAGAGTCATTGGGGCAATTTGCTTAAAAGTTATTTCTCAATCCCACATTAATAACTGAGTATGGCAGAAGGTAAATGGTAATAAGTGAATTTACATATTTCACGTGTTTTTTAACTAAGGGGCGGGGTTGCCAGGCGAGATAAACTGACTCGGTGTGGCCGAGCAGGTGGTCGAGCTCAGACCACTCAAGTAATAGACTGATTCTTAGAAAATGTCATACTTAGACAATCTTACGAACTACATAGTATAAGACCATAAAATCTACATGCTAATTTTAATACGAAAATAATGAAAAGACTAACTAATGTATTAACCCAATTTACACTTTGTATTAGAAAACTGTCACTAATTTTAGAGAAGTAGTTGAAACCATCAAAGTTTAGTAAAGTTATCGCCATTAACCGGACCTAAAATTAACGGTAAAAACTGGTTAAGAATCGTAATGTCTGATACATTAAGTTACTCCAGCATTTATTCATAAATAAGCAAACTTTATTATCATTTCAGTCTCATTAAAATTTAGCAAAGGTAAGCAATTAACTTTATAATTACTACCAAATTTCTGACAGTTTAAATAAAAAAAACGAATAGTTTATGGTTAAATAAACGGATAATAGTTTACCGTTAATAACGTTATACTGCTATAGCGTGGCTCCTTAAAGCTATATAACGTAGTTAACCTCTTTCTCTCTGGTTGTTAAGTGCTCTGAGACGGCTATTAAGTAAAACAGACAGCCGCTAAGCTTGAGAGTCATTCGCGGGTTTGTAAAAGCTTCTTCCGCCGTCTTACAACATTTTATAAGAGCTAAAAGATGTATAACGAACAACGCTATTTCGTTATTTTTTATAACTTCAAATTGATAACTCAATGTTTTCTAACTAGCCAGCAATAATTAATTATAAATAAGGTTTTATTCATCTAAAATTTATCGTTGTATAGGTAATTTATTGCGAAACTGCGAGAATGATTGATATTGAAAAAATCTGCGTTGGTTTCTAAGGATCGAGATAATTAGGTGATTAGGATGTTCTTCGTGTGTGGGAGAGTTAACGTTGCCCCGAAAACGAAACCTGTTTCCTGGGGATCTCTGGTTAAATACTAAAACGATGTCTTCGAAAATTATTTCCAGAAACTGTACAAATAACCAATGACTTATAGTAATGAATTTTTTGTTTATGGCTTTCCTTTTGTACATTCAGCCAGTGTCGAGTGTTTTTTGTATGAAACCTTTATCGTAATTAAAAAAAAATAACTTCAATTATAAGATTTAATCTAACTTCTTCAATATAAGTCGAATTATATTAAAATAATAAAACTTAAAATATATTAAAGCTTCATAACTTTATAAAAATAAATGGAAGTAAAAATTTCCTGTATACATAACTATATTTATAAGGATAAAAATATATACTTAGAAAATTATACGGTTCCCTACGAGATGGGTAGTTGGGAGGCGCGTCCGACCAGTTCTAGACGGCGTGCGGTAAAGATGCGACGCCGGGGCTCCGGTAACGAGCCGCCGGCGCCCTAGGGCTCCGCTGATTCATGCCCGCTTTGTAATAAAGTTATTAAGTGGCCGATCTCGTTTCGCATGGGAACCGGAGTTTAACGAGTCAGTTTGCGGTAGAGCTCAAGTATTTATAGAACGTTGATTTGTTCAACGTTTTGTTTACTTTATTATATATTTATATTTATTATTTATTATATTTATTTATATTAAACTTAAATGCAAAAATCCTACTTTAATATTCAATCTTGTTTTAAATTAATTAAAAATAGAAAGGCCCGCTTTACTACTTATAATACTGTTTAAAGTGGAAAACCGTGTTAGAAATCTGGAAGTTTCATTTGATCAAGGAGATATTGTAGTGTATCCAATAATAGAAACCCCTGATTCAACTCATCTTGATGGGAAAAGTTCCCGGTAAAAGGAGTGTTGGTCGCAGACAAAAAAAAATGGTTGCCCAACATCAGGGAATGGACAGAGGTTGCGAGTGCCGCCCATCTTGTTCGCCTCGCAAGAGACAAAGGAAAATATGGAGAACTGGTCGCCAACCTTCGCTAGTCGGAGAGGCACCTCAAGAAGAAGAAGAAGAATAGAAACCCCGCTAGTTAATTGAGATATTTTAATAAGATAAAATCGTAAAATTCAATACTTTAAGATTCATACGCGGCTCTTGTGAGAAAACACCAAGTCGATTTCCAACATGAATTTAATTTGATTATTAGGTTTACACAGCCGTAAATCTCGTATAACATATCGCTTTCCGCCATTTTTCTTGTCAAAACTGAGATAAAAATATTCTTTTGTAGTGTTTCAAATACATTACACAGCTGCGTTATCTTATCTTTTCTTGTCTATTAATCATCTCACTCATGTTATGAGATGGAATTATTTTTACATTCAAATGAATACGTCTTATTTTCTGATTATCATTACAAACATAAAAAATTAAAAAACTTAAAAGGTTTTAAATTATTTTAATTGAAAACTAATAATTTTTTCGGTAAAGTAAGGTGATAAATCAATCAGATCAAGCAATGTGGCAAAGCCTAACCTGTCACCGTGTCACCGTGCATGCTAAAGTCAACGACTAACACCCTTTTTCCACTAGCACGACTATCCACTTACAATTCTCTATAATTGCTCAACAGCAGTTATGTCATCAGCTACTATACGTCCCTACCGAGGAGCTCGGAGCCTACCCTAAGTGGTGACTAGGATATAGTCAACCACGCTGGCCAAGTGCGGGTTAGTGATTTCACACATATCTTTGAATTTCTTCTCAGATATGTGCAGCATCACGATGTTTTCCTTCACCGTAAGAACGTCGGATAAATGTAGGTATGTAAATTGGAAATCGAAAAACACATTGGTACATGGCGGGATTTCAACCTATGTCCTGCAGATTGCAAGTCGACTGTTTGACCCCTGAGCCACCGACGCTCTTACATACATACATACATAGTAGTTAATAGTAGCGCGCTAGTCGCGTAGTAGAAAGATGGTCTATGGTCGACGTATACTCCGGCCAGACTGCTCGGCAGCGCCACCCACTGCGCGGTGCGAGCCAACACGAATGCAAAACGTTAAACAACTACATACGCTATATGCTAATAACTAGCGTTTACTTAAACGACAACTGATGTACTTGGATTAATAACTCTTGATACTTGTTCATATAAAGATTGCGAGATATTTTCTAGATATAAAATGAGTTATAACTATATTAATCCATTAAGAATATACCAGGAAAATAATCGAATTTTAAAAGAAATTGGATATGTACTGTAAGCTGTTGAGAATGAAATAAAATTACTAAAATAAATTTTTCACATTTAGCGTACATCTGACTTATAAATGCGAATGTTTCGATGAGTGGGTGGATGGATATTTGTAGGTAAACGGAGTCGCAGCAAACCGCTAGTTTACAAAAAGCAAAGCTTCTATAAATTGGATTGCTCGATACTAAAAAAAATATTTTAAAACGGATGCTTAAGTCAAATGTCGGCCCAAATTACAAAAAGAAGTGCATTCCGTTGACTGCATACAGATTAGATACAGAATTTAACATGCGTCCGTGTCCAGATAACACAAGTTACGTAAAACCTATACAAAATAAGTTATAAAGATTTATATATCTTTATATATATAATTCTTCTGTGAGTGTGTATGTTACTGAACTTCTCTCAAACTACTGGAGCTATTTTGATGAAATTTTTTGTGTGTG